TTGTCTCTGTTCCTTTCTGGTCTACTACTTTTAGGCTCTCTCTTTGCTTAGAGGACTCCTTTCAATATTTCCTGTAAGGCTGGTTTGGTTTTTACAAATTCTTTTAGTTTTTGTTTGTCCTGGAAGCTTTTTATCCCTCCTTCTATTTTCAGTGATAGCCTAGCTGGATATAGTATTCTTGGCTGCATGTTTTTCTCATTTAGTGCTCTGAATATATCATGCCAGTTCTTTCTGGCCTGCCAGATCTCTGTGGAGAAGTCTGTTACCAGTCTAATATTTTTACCATTGTATGTTACAGACTTCTTATCCTGAGCTTAAAAGCAGACATTTTTGATTAGGACTTCTGGAACTGAAAATACATCACATATGTATAGTGCTATATTGTTTTCAGAATGCTTTCACATATGTTATTGCATTTGATCCACAAAACAGCCTTTATTTTTAAATTAAAAAAGATTTTTTTTGTGTGTGTGTGAGCTCGGAGGAGGAGGAGAGGGAGAGAGAATTTTTTAAAAAGTATTTTAGTTATTTAAGAGAGAGCAAGTGAAAGAGAAAGAGCCCTAGCACGGAGGGAGGGGCCGAGTGAGAGGGAGAAGCAGACTCCGTACTGAGCGGGGAGCCCAATGCAGGGCTCAATCCCAGGACTCTGGGATCATGACCTGAGCTGAAGGCAGATACTTAACCATCTGAGCCACCCAGGCACCCTGAGAGAGAATCTTAAGAAGACTTTGCACTGAGTGCTGAGCCTGATGCAGGACTTGATCTCATGATCCTGAGATCATGACCCCACAAAATAGCCTTTAAAAGACAGATGAGGGGTGCCTGGGTGGCTCAGTTGGTTAAATGTCTGGCTTTTGATTTAGGCTCAGGTCATGATTTCGGGGTCCTGAGATTGAGCCCTGCATCAGGCTCCATGCTTAGTGCAGAGTCTGCATGTCCCTTTCCCTCCGCCACCCGCCCCCGCAACTGCTCTTGAGTGCATGTGGGGCTCTTTCTCTGTCAAATAAATAAAATCTTTAAAGTAGATGAGCAAAATGTTATTTCCATTTTAATTGAGGAGTAAAGAAGGACTTGGAGCTCTTATGTGAATTTCCTATCACTCAAATAATAACCAGTAGGGCTAAGATGAGGATACAGTAATATTCTGGTCCACTTATGTTTAAAAAGGTTGAAAAAAACCAATATCCACTAGTCTAGAAGAGTCATATTATGTCATATCAGCAGGCCTCATCAATTAGTAATTATAAATGAAGCTAGCTATAATGATAGAACTTGAAATTTTTAAGATTAATACTTAAATTACTTCATGAGGCTGTAGCATAGTTTTGTTATTGCTGTATAATATATATATCATTCCAAAGTACAGTGGTGTAAAACAACCATCTTACTATGTTCGTGGATTTTCCCTGTTAGGAATTGGAAGTTCCGACAGTGTGTAGATAGCTTGTCTCCAGCTGAGTATGTCTGTGGTCTTAGCTGAGAACACTTAGGGCCTGGGGGTGACTTGATGGCTAGAAATGGGATTATCTGACATCTGGCATCTTCACTCGTGTGTGGTGTCTGTGCTACCTTTGGCTTGGACTCAGCTTGGCTATTGGCTTAGAGTACCTGTATAAGGTTTTTTCCTTTGGTCTGGTTTGTGCTTCTTTAGAGCGTGAGAGCTGGGTCTCAAGAGAGTGTCCCCAGAGAGCAGGGGAAAAGTACATGGTGCTTTTGTGACCTAGCCTTGCAAGTTACATAGCATCACTTATGCTATGTAATTGATGCATAGCATCGATTAAAGCAGTCGCAAAGGGCCACTCAAGTTCAAAGGGAGGGTGATAAAGACCCCACTGATTCATTGAAAGAATGTCAAGGTTATAAGAAGGGCTGATGGGAAATATTGTTGTAGCTGTCTTTGAAAAATAGCATCTACATTATGGAGGATTGTTAAAAAAGGAAAGGGTTTGAATAAATTCATATCTGATTCATGTCCCTGAGTCATGGTCTTTTTCTGTTGTCATTTGCTGCTATTAACATAAAAAGTGTTCATGGGGTCTGTGTAGAATTAGTTTTCTGATCCCAAGTTGGAGACACTAATGGGAAGAAAATACCTGCATCTTTCTGCTTTATATCTTGCCATTCTTTTTCCTGATCTGTGTTAAAATGATAGTCTAGCTAATAGGTGTTTAAATCTTTAAAAAAATATTTATTTACTTGAGAAAGAGAGCAAGGGAGGGAGAGGCCTCATGGCATGTTTAGTGTGCTTAAAATTGTCTTATATAAAAATTGTCAGAGTTAATACAAATTGGATTTTATTAGCACTTTTTTTTGTTGTTGCTGTAAGTTCCTGGATTTCAGTTATGGTACACAGTGATAAAGCATCCTCCCCACCACCCCCAAAGAAACACTGTAGTTATTTGGTATTATATTTTGGACAGAAAATTTAGCACCAAATAAGTTCAAAACTATATCAGAAAAATTAAAGCTTCTGTAAAAATATGTTAAGATATAAACTGCTAACATTAGGATGCAAGTTCTGTAAATTGTACATAAATGTTGGCATATGCTGACTATGGAAGCCTTCCAGGTTCAATGTAAGTTTCATGGTATATGGGTTCTTTTCTGGGTGGGTTGATTTCAGCCACCCAGGCAAGACCTCAAATACTGGTCTTTACACTGGATGATTTGACCCAAGGTCCTGCACCCAGCTTTCCAGTAGTAGATAACTAACATTTTTCATGCACAAGGAATGAATCTGTCTCTGGGGAGATCTGTGGTAATTAAGCTCATCAGAATGAAGCAAGAATCACAGCTCTTGGGCAGGTAATTTTATTTATCGTTATGCTACTGTGGTATCTTTTCCTTCTGTGTATCTTAAAAATCCTGCCTTTCAGTGCCACTACTTTTGCTTTATTTTTATTTTTTAAAAAAGATTTTATTTACTTGAGAAAGAGGGAGAAGCAGACTCCCTGCTGAGCAGAGAGCCCAGCATGGGGCTCCATCCCAGATCCCTGAGTTCATGACTTGAGCCGAAGGCAGGTCTTAACTGACTGAGCCACCCAGGCACACCGCTTTTGCTTTACACAGTTATCTTTTTAAAGAAATCATAAGAAAAGAACAGCATATTCTTTTATTTTTACGACTTACTTACTGTTTAGAGTGGTTTTCATTCTGGAAAATTTGGTTTTGAATTTGATATTTCTTTTTATCCTGACAATTTCCTTTTCTGTTAGTTGTATTGCGTATTTGTTTTCACAAGTTCTCTTGGCCTTCATTTATCTAAACGTCATTATTTAACCCTATTTTTGAAGGGTATTGAATTTTCCAGTGACGGTTTTTTTCCTCTCACCACTCTAAAGACAACCTCTGACTTAACATTGCCTTTATTCATATTGTTTTTCCCTTGTATGTAATGTTTCTTTTTTCTGACTGCTCACAAGATTTAGTAGTCATTATTGGTTTGCAGTAGTTTGATTTTGATGTGACTAGGTATCTTTCTTTGTATTTGCTTGAGCTTTGATCTGTAAGGGCTCTCCCTTACCCCTTGAGTTAATCAGTATTCTTTCATTATTTCTGAAACTTTTTTTTTTTTTAAGTGCCCTGTTCTCTCCTTCTGGAACTCCCATTTGTACCTATGTAAGACATTCTGAGGTTTCTGACTAGATAGACTGAGTGCTTATACCATTAGCTCCAATTTAAAATGCGGAGTGTTCACCTCTAATCTCAAAGGCTTGAATTTGACAGTTAAGAGGTCTTTGGTGACCTTACCTGTGGGTAGAGAGTGGGAAATGACCTTAACTGTGGGTAGAGAGTGGAAAGTGAAATCTGTACAAGGAAGAGTTGAGGGGTGAAGAGGATTGAAGAAATGGGGGGACTTACTGCTGTAGCTGTGTGTTTGTTTGTGGTTTTTTGTTTTCTTGTTTTTTGTTTTTTGCCCCATCCCTATGTTTGTGACTTAGCATTTTGTTTCATTTTTAGGCTTTTACCGCATTCCTCTTTCTCCCCTCCTTTTTTTTTTTTTTTTTTTTTTAAATGTTCTGGGAAAATACCACCCAGTTTATGACATGATTTCTAGGCACATGATTGCTATAATAAACTGTGCTTAAAGAAGAGTGTTTTACTCAAGGAGTTAATATTTTTCTTGATTTGGTGTGACTTGTGGATGGAAGACCTCTGACATTGGATATTTAACTGGCATCTTGTTTATTTTTCTTTATGTATCAGGAAAACTGTGGCCAGTAACTCACACAAGAGCCATATTGCCTTGTGAGTTGTTGCAATACTTGTTGGAAGCAGAAGGTCTCTATACTGGCTTTCGCTTTATTTTGTTTTAATGGGTGCTAGAACATCATTGAATAATACTTTTATCAGGAAAAATGTGTTATAAAGTTCTTTGGGAAGTAAATAGATTTCCGTTTTTAATAACATAGTTAAGGATGACTTCATTAGGTAATTTTTTTAACTTCTATATATACATAATTATCTTCATTTGATCAACTTGGAAGTTTTAAGTTTAGAAAATTTTTTTGTGGTTAGCACGCTTGTGTTAAGTTTAAAGTTTTATATGAATGTTTTTGGATACCGGAGTCTAAAGGGTTGAAAACAAAACAAAGAAACCAAACGAAAGACCACCTACATCTGGTGGAGAGTTCTAGGCAGAGTTTCTGACTTCCTCAGGTTCTCCTTTGACAATGCTGTGGTCAAAGATGAAGTGAGCAGTTTCAGAACAGAAGCCGAATTTTGGACATTTGTGTTACATTTTGACTATGTTATAAGTAACGCTTTCGAACACGGACAGCGTACAGGTGAGCCTGTTTTAGAGTGACTTTGCTTTCATGATTCCGAGAGGACTCTGCGTTTTACTACTTCTTTATTTTGGAGTATTTTAACCATAAAAATTGCAGAATTTGGCAGACTCTTGATCAGAAATGCATTGTTATGGCACATGGTTACATCCTTGGGTGTGTTATCTTTTGGATATTGGATATTGGAATGTTATCTTTTTTTTCCCTCCCCAGTTCAAAGCAGTATTCAGCGATTTCAAGAGAAGTTTTTTATTTTTGCTCTGACACCTCAGCAAGTTAGAGAGATATGCATATCCAGGTAAGAGGAATGTTTGGAATATGTTTCTTCATGAATGTTGGTGTATTAGTCTGCTAGGGCCGCCGTTACAAAGTACAACAGACTGTGTCGCTTAAGCAGCAGAAATTTATTTTCTCAAAATTCAGGAAGCTTGAAGTCCAAGATTAAGGTGTCAACAGATTTGGTGTGTCCTGAAGCCTCTCTCCTTGACTTGTACAGGCTGCCTTCTTGCCTCACTTGACCTTTCTTCTGTGTGCCTGTGCACTCCCGGTATCTCTTTTTCTTATGAGGACACCACTTGCATTGGATTAGGGCCCCACCCATACAACCTTATTTAATTGTAATTACCTCTTTAAAGTTCCCATCTTCACATAAGGTCAGATTGGGGGGTCAGGTCTTCAACCTGAATTTTGGGGAGACACAGTTCAGTCCATAACAGTTGGACTATTGTTCTTTAAGAAAGCATAGTATACATTGACTAAAGTTAGCCAAATACTTAATAAATACTCTGTATTAGAAAACAGTTTAATCTTTGACTAAAACCCTAGCTTATTTTTTTGAATTGCTTTTTGGCAATAACTTTTTTTAATGAAAATTTTATTCCAAATAAAGCAACATAAAAAAGAGTTTGTGGCAACAGCCCAAAGATAGGATGTCTATAAATTTTATCATTCAAACTGAGGCACTTTAAGAGTTAATGTACATATCATGTTCTTATCCTAGAAAAATTAATAAACTGGCACTGTTCTGAGCTATGTGGTCACCAAGACTATAAAATTAGTAGAAATCTAAAAACAATTATGGAAAGTACTCTTCGCTTTGCCTTTTATAAAAATTGGAGAAACAAAATAGACACATTTATAAAGAGCAAATGAGCTAAGATGTAAGACGAAAGAAAAGGAAATATGTAGTGTATACTTTTCCAGTTAAAAATATAGTCATCTTTGGTGTTAATAATGTGCATGTGACTCTTTAAAATTGCATTCTTAAAGATTCAGTATAAACAAACTTGGGCCTGTAGGAGGTTAAATGATTTTTCTGGGACTGTAGAGTTAAAAGTAAAAGAGTTGAACAAGTTAGAGGTCTTTTGCCTCCTTTCAGCTATTCATTTGAATGCTCATCTTCTCTGAGATGTTAATAATTTACAAAAATGAGGATTCTGTAGTTAAGTTTTGGAAATTTTGTATTCAACATAGTTACATAAGTTATTTAAGGGTGGACTTTTTGGTCTTCAGTATCTTCATGTGCCCGGCCAGTCTCTCAGATGGTGAATCCAAACTGACAGGCCTCAAGTCTCTTCAAAGCACACTAGCATCCTGAAGATGATCTCTTTATGTGGAAGAGTCTGTGGCAAAGTTTTAGATCCTTTCATTAATCATATCTTTACTAATACTTACATATAGTGAGAGTGCTGTTGTCAAAATCTCAAATGATTGTATGTTCCGACCTTGTAAAGTTTGATCTCTCACAGAGTATTGCATAGACTGCCTCTTCTACAGGTGGGGGAAAAGTGTTGAAAACTAAGATTAAAGAAAAAAAAAAAAAACAGTACAAGGATTAGTCCAAAAGATCCAATATCCAAAATAATAGGAGTTTCAGAAAACAGAAAATCCAGAGGAGCAAATTATCAAAGACGTAAAATGAATGTAACCTGATGTGGTTCAATTTCACCAGGAGCAAGACATTGCAGTGAGTTTTTATTTATTTGGAAGTACTTTCAATCTTGGGGATAGTAATAAACCAACTAACAAATAAATAGAACAAATTGAAATTTTAAAAAACTTATATTTATATTATTAAAATTATATTTTATATCCAAAACCTTATCCTTAATTTTAAGTCTTGTTTGTTATTCAGTGATGATCCCTTGCTTGAGGTTGTTTACTCCGTATTAGGTAGAATTACTATATTACATAGTACAGCCTCTCTTGCTAATGAACCAGTTCATATACATAAAATGGTCTTGGCATTGCACGGTGTCAGATGAAGAGATTCAATTTTAGTAATTACAAATAACTGATTTATAGGAGGATGAGATTACTATTAATGTTGGTGGTCTGGGAAGGCTTCAAGAATGTTGCGTGGGTCTTTGAGGGAAGGAGATTATTTAGAGTGTTTCAGATTTAAAGATACAGATTTCAAGGTACATTTGTAAGTGAACAAAACCAAGCCATCAAAATGTGAATAATTTACTACCAGTTGCCCTAAAAAGGTAGATGTGTGTGTAATTTGCTTAAGTGTCTAAAATATGTCTAGACAAATATGCTTGGCCGCCTCTGTACAGGGGAATGGATGATCGGTGCCAGAGCTGGGATCGTGTTTTCACTTTATATCCTTTTTATATGTTTTTGAAGTTTGAACTATGTGAATTATATTAAGTAGTCCAAATATGAATGACTAAAATTTAAATCTCATCTAAACATTTTGATCATGTTCTAGAACTGGATGGTAGTGTGGTTGTACAGCAGTGTGAGTATACTTAATGCCACAGAACTTAAAGATGGTTAACATGATAAATTTTATGTATCTTATGTATAAAAATGAAAAAAAAAAATAGAAGGCTATTTGTAGTTCTCCTTCCAAAGAAAACAAAGTAAATCACATGCACATATAAACAAAGCCAGAGTCACATAAAATAATACAAAATCTTCTCCCTCATGAGTAGAAATGAAAGTTTGGTACCCATTACCCAACTTCAGTAATTATCAACACTTTGGCAGTCTGGATGTAACCCCCCACCTTTTTCCTGAAATATATTTTTTAAAGATATTATTTATGAGAGAGCATGCATCAGCAGTGGGGAGGGGTAGAGGAAAAAGCAGACTCACTGCTGAACAGGGAGCCAAGGACGTGGGACTGGATTCCAGGACCCCAGGATCATGACCTGAGCTGAAGGCAGACACTTAACTGACTGAGCCACCCAGGTGCCCCTTTTCTAAAATATTTTAAAGGAAATCAACAAGCATCGTATAATTTCAGCTGGAAATACCTCAAAATGGATCTTTAATTAGTTCTTAATATCACAATAAAATAATAATTCCTTAATATAAAACAATGACTAGCCCATATTCAGATTTTCTTAGGTGTTTCTGTATTTAAACATGGCCCATGTAACTACTTTTTATTTATCTCCCAAGATTTTTTAAAAAACTTTACTTTGAAGTAATTATAGATTTATAGAAAAGTTATGAAAATAGATATACTCTTTACCCAGCTTCAACTTGCATAACCATAGTGCAGTTATCAAAACCAAGAAATTAACCTTGGTATGATACTGTTAACCAAACTACAGGTTTTATTCAGATTTCACCAGTTTTTTTGCTAATAAACTTTTATTCCTAGATCCAATTCAAGATCCCAAATTACCTTTAATTGTTAGTCTCATGTTAGTCTCTTTCAGTCTGTGACAGTTTCTTAGTTCTCCTTGTCTTTCATAACTTTAGATAGTTTTGAAGAGTCCTGGCCAGGTATTTTGTAAAATATTGGGTTTGTCTGATATTTTTTCATGAGTTTAAGCATTTTTGGCAAGAATACCTCGAGTTATATGCCCTTCTTTGTGTATCATGTTGAGCTACATAATATTGATCACTTGGGTAAGGTACTTTCTACTAGATTTTGGCACTATAGGGTTGTGTTTTTTTCCTTCGTTAGTAATAAATATCTTGGGGGAGATACTTTGAGATAAGGCACATATTCTGTTCCTCTTCAGAGTTTTGCCCACTGATGGAGCACTCACTGATGGATCTTTTCCTTCAGTGGTTGCTTTGTCATAAACACTCTTGTGTTCCAGTGATTTTCTGATGTCGTTATTCTTTTTCACATTAGAGTTACTTTGTAAGGAAGAGCTGTCCCTTCTCCCCCATTTACTTATTCAGTCATTTATTTTTATCTGCGTAGGCTCTTGAGTAATCTGGATTATAATACAGTGCTGTGATAATTTTAAGTTATGTTGTTTACAGACTGGTCTACCTCTGGCTATTGGCTGATCTTTCATTTGGCTCCTGTGCCCTTCGGTATGTCTCCGTCGGTTTCTGAGCACTGCTTTACTTTTTGGCACCACGGGGTGCTCTAGGTTCATTTTGTAATTTCTCTGCCCCAGTTCTGGAATCGATCACTTATCCAAAGAGCTCTGTTTCCGTTCTTAGAATATTTCTTACCACTCTCCTTGAAAAAAACGGTTCCTTGACTTCATAGCATATTACACATGCTGGATTTGGATCCAGAGGTAGTTCTTGTGTCATTTAACTTCCGTGCCTGTGGTTCTCACACTTTGCTGCATATTAGAATCAACTGAGAGCTTTTAGGAATCTGAATACCCATGTTTCGTTCATACCAATTCAGTTAGAATTCCGAGGATGGAACCCAGTTTGTAAAGCTCTCCAGGTGTTCCCAGTATCTGACAAATTAGAGAACCCCTGCTGGGCATCCAGCTTCTCCCCTCATGTCGTGGTAGTAAAGTCTAAATGAGGCTCGGATACATTCAGGTTCAGATTGTTTTGTTCTTATTACGTCTTGTGAAAATTCATCGGTGAGTTCAGTTCTCTTCTTGGTTTTAGCACTCCCCTTCCATCTGTTACTAGTGCCTCCCTAATCATCCCGTCTCAGCTTCTCACACTGACTTCTCTTTTGGGTTCCCAGGAATCAGTCTGTGATTCCTTTCTCACTACTCTGTGATAGTTTTCATGAATGTGCGTTGTTATTTTTATGTTGCTGGCTGCAAGATCTCCACTTTGCTCTAGAGTCCATATTCACTGTCCCTGCCTCGATGATGCACAGGTACATCAAACACAGCACATTCAGAATTGAACTTCCGTTCTGCCCAAACTTGCTTGTTTATCTTTTGTTCTTTCATTTATTCATTTAGCTTCATGGCATGTATTTATTTGCTGCCTATTATGATCCAGGCAGTGTTCCCAGCACCAGGGGTGCAAAGTTGAAAAAATAAACTGGCTTCAAGGAGATTTGTGCTTGGTATATTTCTTCCCACTACCCATTTCGTTAATGGCGTGGGATTTGCGCAGACACAGAGCCCCCTTTGTATTATCCCACACCTCATCCACCACGTCCTGTCGGTTTGCTGCACTCTACTGATCCTTCCTTTATGTCTCTTTCACGATTTAAAACATGATGCAACTCTGTCCTTTAGGGAGTTAGCATGGTCTTTGGAATAATACCAAGTGGAATGTGAATACTGGCCCAACCACTTAGGCCTGTCTCTGTGCCCCTGGGTAAGTTACTAAAGCCCATTGAATCTTATTTACCCAATGTAACATAGGAAAAATAATCACCACCTCAGTCAGTGGCTGGGGCACTTCTTACCCTGGTGAGTAGCCTTATCCCCATTCCAAAACCTGGGCCCCACCCTAGATGCTCCCCTATTTATCCTGCCTTCTGTATCTAGTCAGTCACTGAATTCTGTTTTATGCCTAAATATCACTCAGTGATGTTTACCTTTAAGTAGCCTTCGAGCCCTCATCTTTTCTGATACAATTGCAGTGGTCCCCTAACTCTTCTGCTAACCGTGTGAGCATTCTAAAGTCCATTCGGTGTTCTCTCTCTTGTGTTTAAAACCCTGGAGTGATAGCTCCTGAAGTCCACACTCTGTTTCCTGGCAGTTCTCTTCAACATCTTGTTCTACTCATTTTCTGTCTCATTGCATCTCCTGTCACTCTACACTTCCCCAGCAGCTGGCCTGTCACAGCTCTGTCCCTTTGCATATCCTCTTCCTTCCCATTCTGTTTGGCAAACTTGAAGTGTATTTTAGGGCCAGTTCTAGTCTTAGCTTCTCTGTGATGCCTTTCTAGATTTCCCCAAACACACACTTTGTCTCACTGTACTACATACTTACTTTCTTTTAAAGCTTCATTGCATTTATTTGACTACTGAATTTACAAACTCGATGACAACATCTTACTCCTTTTTATATTCTCAAAGCCTGTCACAGTGCCTGACATACAGTAAAATGCCTGCTTTATATTTGATGAATGAGATGAACATGTGAAAGTTCCTGGAACGGCGACTGGCAGAAATTTGAATGTCAGAAGACGCTTACTCAATTACTCCTCATGTTTGTGAACATATATAGCACATTGCATTTCCCAGTTAATGTTCATTTCCCTTACTGGCATAAAGTATAAATCCTTGGGCAAGCTATTTAAAACCCTTTGCATCATTTCCCCAGCTATCTTTTTAGTATGTCTTTTACCATTGCTCTTTTTTCAGATTATGTTTCCCACCCAACAAGATTTTGTTAGGTATCTCTGGTTGATCTTCCCCCTTCCCTTTTGCTGAGAATCTGCACCAGTGAAGTCACTGTTAATGATGGAATTTTGTTTAAGTAGAAATAGGCAGAACCACTGTTGTACAAACCTTACTTTCTAGTTTGACTGGACTGTGATAAATGCCTTGAACTTTTTTTTTAAAAGATTTTATTTATTTCACAGACAGAGAGCACAGGTTGGCAGATAGGCAGGCAGAGAGAGAGGAGGAAGCAGGCTTCCTGCTGAGCAGAGAGCCCAATGCGGGGCTTGATCCCCAGGACCCTGGGATAGAGCCCAATGCGGGACTCGATTTCAGGACTCTGGAATCATGACCCGAGCTGAAGGCAGAGGCTTTAACCCACTGAGCCACCCAGGTGCCCCAAAGCCTTGAACTTTTAAGACAAAGTAAAACTTGCATCTTTTCCGTAGCACCTGTTTTTTTTTAAAGTACCATAACATTTGCCACATTTTATTTTAGTAGCATATATCTATTACCTACTAGCATGAGACCTTTGAGAGCAAATATTGTGTCTTTGTTGCTAAACCAGCACCCAGACTGAAACGTTTTTTGATTTATATGAGGGGAATGATAGAGGTTACTCACAAGAGGTCAGTGTTGTCTAGAGCATGGGGATGTTTTTGAATAGACATTTGAGAAGGTGGAGGCTACTGGCGAGGGAAAGTGAAAGCAGAGTTAATAATCATAGCAGCCGGCTGCCCACACTGGTGGAGTGAGCAGCCAGGCACTTTACGTGTATCATAAACACATATAATCATTGCAACAGCTTCATAATTTTCCATCTTTAATAGATGTAGAAACAGAGGCACAGGGAGGTTAAATAGTTTGCCGGAGGTCCTACAGTTTGGGACTGTAGAACTCAAGCTGGTCACTGTGGTGCTTTACTGCCTTCCAGTGAACATAGTGACAGAAGACTGGCCCAGTTAGAGCAAAGTGGGGGCAAAATGTACTCTTAAGAAAGGACTGATTTCTAGTACTCTTCTCCTTGACTTAGTCCAAGATTGATGATAATGGCTAAGGACATACTTCTACAATATAACGTGCATTCATGTCACTTGGGGAGCTCGTTAAAGTGCCGATGCTAATTTTGCATGTCTGCGGTGGGGTCTGAGATTCTGCATTTCTGACAAGCTCCCAAGCAATCACAGTGCCGCTTCACCGTGGGCTCCTTAGTGACAAGGCTTTGGAAGGTTCAGTGCCAAAAATATTTTATATGGGACTCTATTAGGTTCTCATGTAGAAATTCTAAGAGGTTCTGTGTCCTTGTTTGGATACTTAATTATGAAGTTGCCATGGTACAGAGATGCTGAGACTCCAGGCGCTCGTACTTCATTTTGGTTCTATATTAGAGTCACATGCTATAAAAACTAAAGCTCAGTCTGCATTCCAGACCGATAGTCTAGTGAATGAGTTCTTAAGTATTTTTTTTTAAAAGTCACATGATTAAAATCCTCAGCCAAGGGAGCACCTGGGTGGCTCAGGGGTTAAGCCTCTGCCTTTAGCTCAGGTCATGGTCTCAGGGTCCTGGGATCGAGCCCCACATCGGGCTCCCTGCTCGGCAGGGAGCCTGCTTCCCCCTCTCTCTGACTGCCTCTCTGCCTACTTGTGATCTCTCTCTCTCTGTCAAATAAATAAATAAAATCTTTAAAAATAAAATAAAATAAAATGCTCAGCCAAGGTAAGAGCGATTATGAGCAAACAAATTAATTTATTAATCTCCTTTAGAACCGAGGGTACTTCTTTTTGTGTTAACCAAATCTGTTGCCTATTGAAATAAATACTGCATCACGAAAGTTCCTGTGAATTGAAAATACCTTAAAATTGCCATAAAGACATGACTAAATGTTAAGTAAATGAGGGGTTCTCATCACTATAGTGTTTTGATTAAGTCTTGTGCTGTTGGTAGGGGAGTATTAATCTTTAGGAATAAGAACAAAAGTATTAACAACGCTTTTGCACGAATGTTCCTGTGAATTCTCATTGTGCCTTCTCAACCCAGTTTCTTTCTCTTTCCAATAGGGATTTTTTGCCAGGTGGTAGGAGAGATTATACAGTCCAGGTTCAGCTGAGGTGAGTTTGAAATTTTCTGTTAATTTTATACTTGCTAACTAAATTCATATAGTCGTGAACTTGAAATATGTAAATATGTTTGGGTATACTCTTTAAAGACATTTTTCTTTTTTTCTTTTCTTTAATACAGACTTTGCCTGGCAGAGACAAGTTGCCCTCAAGAAGACAACTATCCCAATAGTCTATGTATAAAAGTAAATGGGAAGCTCTTTCCTTTGCCTGTAAGTTGCATTTTCTTTACCAGGCTTGCATGTAAGTTTAGTCTAAATACTCACAAGGCAAAGAAACAATGACAACTCCATACCAATGAGCAGACTTACTATCCACGTTCAATACTTTGCGCCACTAGAGGGATTCAGGACTCCTTGGAGAAGTGGCTGATTCCAGGTCTGGCGGAGATGGAAAAGATGAGCCTGGAATGTCTTGTGTCAGGAAGCAGGGGCGTTGTGAAAGACTCTTAGGATCATATCAAATGATCTAATAACAGGGCGTGACTTGCATAGGTAGGGCAGTATGTTGTGGTAGTTATCTGAATTAGCTGGGCCTTCTCCATGGAGTAGATGGTAAAAGGTGGAGGCTGCTGAGAGCGACTGGATGTGGAGATCAAGGATTCCAAGTTTGGGCCATGATGTGCACACCTGGGTGGGTAGATGCAACTGTGTTTGATTGACAGCCCATTGTTTAAGCAGTGAAGCAATATGTCGGCTTCAGCACTTACAATACGCACACATACACACACACACACACACACGCACGCACGCACACAGTGGGTACAGCCTGTTTCTGGCCTGATAGATAACTCTGGACTCCTCAGATCCTTTTCATCCCATCTTAAAATAACACTGAATTATTGAACTGGATTGTATGTCTGTCTCCACTGAGGCTTGGAATAAGTCAGTAAATTAGTGCAGCTTTGTAGAAGGCTGGCAAAGCCACAATCGGAAAAGTAGGAGAGCATGGCCTGTTTGTCAAGCCCTGAAAAGTGGAGGTGCATTTCATCCAGGATATGCTACGAGAAACAGTAATTTCATGAGGATGCTAATTTGCCATTTCAACAGCAGAGACTACAGAGAAGGAGGTGGTGGGGCAGGGAGGAGCTGTTTAGTATCCCTGCTGAGCACGAGGCTTGGCTCTGGGATAAGTATATAAGCAACACACATGAATAGCTGAGCAGGCAGGACATGTGGTCTAGGACTCTGGGCTCTACCAGAGCCAGATAATTGTCATTGAGCACCGCCCCCTCTACCCCCGCCCACCACAAGGTGAAGACAGCCCATGGCCAAAGCCAATCCTTGTAGTCAAATATCTGACTTGATTGTCAGGAGTCCTGTTTTGTCTCTTGACAGCCTGTAGATTTAGAGACCTGAGAAGTACCTATGTCATGAATTTTAAAGAGCTTGAGCAGTACTGCACTGTTGCTGCTTGGCTCTTTTTGAAAAATGTCTATGGGGCTGAGTCATTTGAGATAGTCCTTTGGGAATGATCGAGGAAATTGCAGAGATGGAGTAGATGTTGGTCAGGAGAAATGCTTACATGGCCCCATGCTTGTTCAAGACCCAGCTGGGACATTTTGCTTCTCAGGTTTCTGGCAGTGAGCAACAGTAGATTCTTAGGGGCTGTCCTTTATCTGGATAGATCCAAAGATCTGAACCAAGGGAAGAGGCAATTTTCCTTGCAACTGAAGGCCACCCAATGCCAGCGGATGGCCACATGTGTGACGAAGGAATCTCGGGAAAATCACAGATTGTGGAATGCCTCTACACACTTTCAATGACCATTCATACCCAGTTTTCTTTGTCTGAGACCTGTTAAAGTTTCTTTGACCTTCATTTTTGTTCCTCTTTAACCCTCTCACCACCCTTGGAAGATCCAACTGTGAAGATCTTTTTGGTATCTAGGCCTACCTTGAAGACCTGTCCAGTATCATGCGGCTGTGCCAATGATGGGGACTATCTGAAATGTGTGAGGCTCTACCTAAACTCCGGCATTGCTGCAGAAAATACGGTGGTTGCAGGTTCCACAAAATACTCCAAATGGAGCAGTGTTATTCACTGGGATGGCATCTTCATCCATGAGCTCTGTCTATGGAAATCTCTGAATGTGTCACTCTTCAGTCCTTTTGAGAGCGAAGAAATTAGGCAGTTGAGTACTTTCTCTGGTAGATTGTTACTCAGTCACTGTTGGTTTCTTTCCCAAAGCACCAACTAACCCTTCAGTGCTTATATTAGACTGTTTGTGAATATATCAGTTACTGTGTAGTGAGTCTGGTCCTCTCCTCTGGAGCCAGGGGCCTTCTGTGGCTCCAGGGGCTCTTGAAGGAGCTGAAAAAAGGGAGCCTTAGGACAAAGGGAAAGACAGATTTCAAAAACAGAAAGCAGTGGGGGCTTGGGTGGGGGGGCTTTCCTGACCTAATCAGGCCATCCCAGAGATCAAATGCCAGACTTCCTCAAAGAGGCTTTTTGGCTCTGTGACCCTCTGTGGAACAGCTGATGTAAATTTACATGTAACAGATAGAAAACTCCTTAAACCACTTCTTGATCCACAATTGCTACTGATTGGGGTAGTGAAATACAGAGCTGTTACTAGCATGAAGCAGGTTTATGAAAATCATGGGAGTATACTGCAGCCTCAGAAGAGGAAACTTTACTAACCTTTTAGAAATTAATATGTTGAACTCCTCACCAGCATGGAGATCTCAGGGACTTTGTTCCAGTTGTAAGAAACATTGACAGGTCACAAAGGAGTTTGACAGGTCACAAAGGAGTTCGACATGTGATCCTTGCCCATGCTCCTAGTTTATTGCACAGCAAATCCTAGAGAATAAGCTTGACACGGTCATGGAATTTCCCATGAGAACTATGAATGTATTTGGATTTGTGTCCTGGAACCAGTCTCTCTGTGTAGACCTTATTGCAGTATCCAGTTATTATGGAACCATGATACTGCATGAACAAAGAGAAAGCTGAATGAGAAATAGCATTACCTTGATAATAGCAATGTGTCCCTGGATTCTTAAGGGTCAAATAGTGATGAAAGCAGTTCCTGTGCTGTTTTACCCATGAGTTTTAGGATGGTGAGTTTTAGGAGATGCCTTCATGCATTAGTTTTTTGTTTTGTTTTGTTTTTAAAGATTTTATTTATTTTTACAGACGGGGATCACAGGTAGGCAGAGAGGCAGGCAGGCAGAGAGAGGGGGAAGTAGGCTCCCCTGTTGAGCAGAGAGCCCGATGCGGGGCTCGATCCCAGGACCCTGGGATCATGACCTGAGCTGAAGGCAGAGGCTTTAACCCACTGAGCCACCCAGGTGCCCCAATGCATCAGTTTTTCAGATCCCTTAATACAAGGGATTAAGATCCCTTAATATAAGGACAACAGTAAGCAGCTCACAGCAGGACCTGTAGAATGACATGTACAGCATGGACAGATAAAAGTGAAACTGTCTCTGAGAGTATCCCCCATTCCCCGTCTTTGGCTCCCACGGCTGCCAGTGTGCAAACTGATAGAAGATGAGAAAATTTTATGTTTTTAAGAACAGAAGAAAAGGAAAGAGGAAAAAGACTCTCTTTGCTTAGAATGATTTTGAGAGGCTGAATTGTTTTTCTTTTTAAACAGATTTTGAGAAACTTCTGTAAATCTGTGGAGCTGTAACGTTGTGGGATATTGTAGAATTGGGTTGACAGTGGGGAGTATTACTTGGAAAGATTTTGTAGAATGGAGAGGATATGTGCTGCAATTCAGCTGGCAGAAATCAAATATTTCCTCTTGATGTAGTCAGAAGTCTTCTTGATGTTCACCCTCTTATCCTAATATATTCTTTTCTCTGTTCATGGACTTCTTTTTTCTCTTATATGTATTTTCCTTTATGTATTAGTTATGCAAATGGTCTGCCTCATAGTAAATCTGGACTGAGGTAAAGTCAGTATTTTCTTTTAAACATACACTTCTGTCCCCCAATTTAATCAGATTCCTGTGTCCTAAGGTGGGATTATCTAAAAGATAATACTGCAGTGGACTCAAAACTATCAAATATATGATTGAGTTTATAATTACATTGAAATAAACCATTGGAGGTTGTACTAATTCAGTATTCTAAAAATTGGTAAAGGAAGAGAGTCATTGATTTCAGCGTAGTCAGACATGTGCACAGTCAAGTTTTTTTTTATGGAAACATTTTAACTAATATAAGCAAAAGGAATAATGGATTAGAAAGCCATTCTTTTCAAATCCATAATTATATAATCGATCTAGGTAACCATCAATGGGTGCTAAAACTATTAGGTCAAAGCTTGATGGGGAATGTTACCATGGAGGGGTCAGGCTGACGTCAGCTGAATTCCTCATCAGTCTTGACATCACTGTAAACTGGGGCAAACTCATTACGTGCCTCACGATGTGGTACGGTGGGGGAGTACGTAACACTCCCTATGAAGTTTTGTGTCTGAGGATTCAAATCTGAATCCAATCAAGCGTGCACAACTGGCTACCAGCTTAAAATGTCTACAGGAGATGGAGCAGCAGAACTTTATACCAGGAGGAAGCCTCATGCAAAAAGTGAGGTCATTCTGCAGGTCAGAAGTCTTGGTATCTTCAACAAAAAATGACAGTGGAAAAGAAGAAGAGAGGGTGGAGGACAATAAAAATTATTATTGTAGAATAAAGGAGACTTCAGAGACAACTAACCATAATGTGAGGCTCTAGTTTGGATTCTGAATCAGACTGTAAAAGGACATCTTGTGTACCAGGCTATGTATATGGGTAACATGATGTGCCTGGGATTTGCCTTAAAATAATCTGGAACGGGAGTGAGGTTAAATAAGTAAAGATTGTTTATGAGCAAATATATATTGAATTGGGTGATGGGTATATGGGAGTTCATTATGCCTTTTTCATATATATGTATATAGTTTTTAAGATTTCACTTATTTGAGAGAGTGGGTGAGCAGGGTGAGGGCCAGAGGGAGAAGCAGACTCTGCTGAGCAGGGAGCCTGCCGTGGGGCAGATCCCAGGATTCTGGGATTATGACCTGGGCAGGAGGCAGATGCTCAACCGACATAGCCACCCAGGTGCCCCATCTTTTTTTATGTTTGAAAATTTTCAATAATAAAGACATTTGAAGCAGTTGGGAAATTTGAATATACACTGGATACTAGGTAATTTTTAAGAATTATGGTTAATTTTATAAGGTTGTGATATTGTTTTTTTTCTTTTTTTGAAAGGTGTTATTAAAACCGTGTAGAAGTATGGGTCAAGTGGCATTATCTAGAATAAATGTGTATATGTGTGGGGTGTGTATTTTTGGGTGGGCTGTGGGCGGAGCCAGAGGCAAATGAAGCAAGATTGGAAACATATCGTTGGTAATTAGTGAAGCTGGCTGTTGGGTACTTTTCTCTACTTACATCTATCCTTGAACATTTTATAATGTACAGTAAAATAGTAAATCTATGTTGACAGTATTACAGTAGTGGTAGTAGAAGTAATTAGGAAATTCCAGAGGGAAATGTTAAAGGAATAACGCTGTCAACTTTTGTCCCAGTTACAAGTCAGGTAGGATGTTGTCACAGTACATCACAGAAAGGTTTTCGAGTGTATTTTTCATTGGAACGTTAGGTTGAGACTGACATCTTTACTGGCTCTCCTGCAGCTTATTTATTTATTTGTTTTTCATTTTTTAAATATTTTACTTATTTATTTGACAGAAAAAGAGATAGAGTGAGACAGGGAACACAAGTAGGGGGAGTGGGAGGGGGAGAAGCAGGCTCCCTACTGAGCAGGGAACCCAGTGTGGGGCTCGATCTCAGAACTCCAGGATCATGATCTGAGCTGGAGGCAGATGCTTAACGACTGAGCCACCCGGGCACCCCTCCACCAGCCTTCTTAAAGAAGGTTTTTAGCTTTCCTCCAGAGGTCCCCTATCAAATGAACTTAAATTTGTTTTTTGCTTTAGATATGGAAAATCATTAGAAATATGTTAAAGCTGCACATTCATATTTTAGAAAATTGCAATTATACCCTGTTCTCAATAACCAGGTAATTAATGGCTGAATGGAGGTGATATAATGGTCAGAAGGAGAATACAAGTTAAAAGATAACTCAGAACTGCCAGTGAAATCAAACTAGTTGGGTAGGGTAGCGGTAGATTTAAAATACTTGAGGTGGCTGAGACTAGTACCAAAATTGATTTTGAATTTGCTAATACCTCGTTCTTGTAGTCACGTAGTCTCCCCTCTCTTGTTGCTCTCTTCCTCTTCAGACTGACTGAAAACATTGTTTATTTGATTCCAGTTTAGGGAGTTTACTCTTTGGCTAGTTCATGAGTTATTTTTATCATCTTGGCAGATCCTGTGCCATTGTTTTATTTGGCTAACCTACCAGTGAACATACCAGAAAACAGAAAACAGATAAAACAAAGGTTTCATTCAGAATTGCCCAGAATGTTGATATTTCTTTTTTTTTTTAATATTTTATTTATTGATTTGACAGAGAGAGATCACAAGTAGACAGAGAGGCAGGCAGAGAGAGAGAGAGAGGGAAGCAGGCTCCCCGCTGAGCAGAGAGCTCAATGCGGGACTTGATCCCAGGACCCTGAGATCATGACCTGAGCCGAAGGCAGCGGCTTAACCCACTGAGCCACCCAGGCGCCCCGAATGTTGATATTTCTTATGATTTTTTCTCATTGAACCAATTCGTAGAGTCTTGGTAAGAGATTGAATTGTTTTTGTCTTATTTCACTTGAATAACTTGAGATGGGCATAACCTTCCTGTACACGTGTACGCAGGTGCACACACAATTTCCCTTTTCTATAGTGTAATGGCCATTGTTGAAGTTATGTTCTTTGCCTTCCTTCTTCCCCTGCCCAAACTGTTTTTAATGATTTTCCAAGTCTTGATGCAAGTCATAGTTTGCAAGTTAGGTGTATTCCCACTGAATAATTACTATCATACCTCCTACGAGGCAGTGAAGAGGTTCCTTAGTTGTGATAGACTGTGTTCCTTAGCTCTGGTGTAATGCCACCAATACTGTATTTCATTGTTTCTAACATGCATATTTTTCACATCACTAGAGTCCAGAAGTGTCTTACAGTTGCTGATGACCAGGTGGCAAGCTATAGTGTGTTGTCATTGCCTAGTACAGTCATGATGTTATTCCTGTGGCATGACTGGTTAGCTCTGCTCCTTCGGTTTTTTTTAAGCAACAGATGATTTAAGAGCATTTTAAGGAAGGTTCACAAATACTGGTTGTTGTCTGAAAAGCTTCGATCAGTACACTCTCATAAGATCCAGATTGTATCAGCATTAATACATGCAGTTACCTTAAGGGTATCAGTGATCTGCAAGGAAATCCGAGGGATACCGGTGGAGTAGAATATAGTCATAAGAAATACTTGTATCTCCAGAGCTCTTAGTGGCATTTAGGGAGATGCCATGAAACATATGCATTGATGACTGAGTGAAAAGTGATTCAGAAGATTTTTCTGTATATTTAAAAGGAGTATGTTTGCCAGTTCATTTTGCTTGTATTTCTTTGCTATGCATGCAGGAATAAGTAGTGATATGTTAGGTTGTATCATTAACTGAGTGTGTTTTTTTTTCCTTCTCAGTTAAATTACATCAGTGGCATTTTAGATTCGGTGAAATATGGTATCTTCTTTACAGTATATAGATGTTTTCACAGCTAAGAAATTTTAATTTTCTAAAAACTATTACTTTAGGGTCACCTGAATGGCTTAGTTGGTTAAGCGTCTGCCTCCTCTCAGGTCATGATCCCAGGGTCCTGGGATCCAACTCCCATTTCAGGCTCCTTGCTCAGTGGGGAGCCTGCGTCTCCCTCTGCCTGCCACCGCCTCCTGCTTGTGCTCGCTCTCTCTCTGACAAAAAAATAAAATCTTTAAAAAATACTTTAGTTTTGAAAATTACAAACTGAGAAGTCTTTTGGTAATTGAGAATTGGATGTAATGTGAATAAAAAATGAGTGCACTTGCTATTTAAAACAACTACTTAGTGATTAGAAAAAGAATAAAGCATAAATATCAGTATTACAGCCATCAAGCTAATTTAATGCCAATTGAAATATTGATTATTCTTTGTTGACATGTTCTGGTTTTAAAAAATGACCATTTATTTTCTACTTGGAAAGAAGGCAATGGAGAGCATTTTTTTCATTCGTAAGACTTTAATAATTCCTTTGAAATCCATTAATTTGTTCTTTTTCCCCCATAAACTATTATAGTAAATATATTTTATTTTTATTTTTAAAAATTTTTATTGTTTTAAAATTTTAGTTCCAGTATAGTTAACATAGAGTGTTATATTAATTTCAGGTGTATATTATAGTGATTCAGCAGTTCTATACATTGCTCAGTGCTCATCATGAAAAGCATACTCTTTAATCCCTATAATTTATTTCACCTGTCCCCCCACCCTCCTTCCTCTGGTGACCATCAGTTTGTTCTCTATAGTTAAGAGTCTATTTCTTGGTTTCTCTCTCTTTTTTTCCCCTTTACTTGTTTTGTTTCTTAAATTCCACATATGAGTGAAATCATACGGTATTTGTCCTTCTCTGACTTATTTCACTTAGCCGTATACTCTAGCTCCATTCACGTGGTTGCAAATGGCAAGATTTCCTTTTTTTAATGACTGAATAATATTCCATTGTATGTATGCAGCACCACTTCTTTATCCATTCATCTATTTATGGACACTTGAGCAGTTGTATACAATGCTGCATAGGGGTGCATGTATCTTTTTGAATTAGTGTTTTTGTATTCTTCGAGTAAATACCTACTAGTGCAATTACTGGATTGTAGGCTAGTTCTGTTTTCATTTTCTGAGGATCCTCCATACCGTTTTCCACAGTGGCTGCAACGGTTTGCATTCCCACCAGCAGTGCACAAGGATTCCTTTTTCTCCACATCCTCGCTAACCATTGTTTGTGTTTCCGATTTTAGCCATTCTGACAGGTGCGAGGTGATAATCTTTCTGTAGTTTTGATTTGCCTTTCCCTGATGATGAGTGATGTTGAGTATCTTTTCTTTTATCTCTTGGCCATGCGTATGTCTTCTTTGGAGAAATGTCTGTTCATCTTCTGCCCAGTTTTTAACTGGATTATTATTATTTTGTTTTGTTTTTTGTGTTTTTTTTTAGTGTTGAGTTGTGTAAGTTCTTTATATATTTTGGATACTAAGCCTTTATCAGATATGTCATTTGCACATATCTTCCACTCAGCAGGTTATCTTTTAGTTTTGTTGATTGCTTCCTTCGCTGTGCGAGGAAGTTTATTTTAATGTAGCATTAGCAATTTACTTTTGCATTAATTTGTTCTTTAATCCCCAAACTTTGTTTTCCCTCTTTCCCATCCCCAGTATTTGAATGTGTTTTAAATAGGAGCTCCTACGATAGATTAATACAAAGAGGTACAACTTTATCATTTATAAAAAGGAAAAAGATTCATAGTATGGCAAGATGTTAGTATCTTTAAATTTAATGATGCAACATTTTTTGGTGCTTTTCTAACTTGTGAAATAAAGCGTTTCTTAAAAGGTCTGTTTCCTCTTTGGATTGGTGACTTTATGATGAAGATTTTGTGATTTCCAGGATAAAATAAGAATATGTATTGGATCTATGTAACGGAAATTAGGCAAACGTATGTCGGTCTTGGAGAAAATTGTTTGATTCCCCAACAGAGAATTTAAAATTATTTTTCTCTCTTATGGTTCTAGGGTTATGCACCACCACCTAAAAATGGGATTGAACAGAAGCGCCCTGGACGCCCTTTGAATATTACATCTTTAGTTCGGTTATCCTCAGCTGTGCCAAACCAAATTTCCATTTCTTGGGCGTCAGAAATCGGAAAGGTAAAGACTCTTCTGGGTAGCGCGTGAAAGTGATCTCACTAGGAGTTGATTTGTCTTGTCTTAGCTCAGGGTACTAGCTCTAACCTGTTAGTTTTCTGAGCTTAATTCCTGAAAAGCAGTGATTTTCAATTCAGGAGTGGAGATGTAGGGATTCTTAGGGTTGAAAAGTTCAAGATGTCCTAAATGTCATCTCTTTATTTTCTTGGAAAAGAAGTGAGTGTAATTACAGTATTTCTTGAGGAAATGCCTGAATCACAATTGTGTTTATGTATGTGTTTAAGTAGGGTTTTAAGAAACTGGAAACTTTGGGTAATGTTACGTATTTATGAAGAGGGACAAAGCTTATCAGACTTTGAGGAAAATGGTTAAGTGTGGTTGGAAATAATCTGTTCCAGCTTTTACATGAACAGCTGTCACTTCAGATAATTTGGGAATCTCATATGAAAATATTTACTTAAAATTACATTATTTTCCCAATACCTGTAGGTTGATGATCCTGGCTTTCTACTAATTCCTCGTCTCAAATGTGTTATGTTAGTTATGGGATACTGATTAATACAACAAGGGATTTCTGTTTACAACTATTTGTTTATATATAGAAATAATAGAATGTCAAAAAAGATTTCAGTTAATTTTTTTTTTAAATTTTATTTTATTTATTTATTTTTTTATAAGCATATAATATATTTTTATCCCCAGGGGTACAGGTCTGTGATTTGCCAGGTTTACACACTTCACAGCACTCACCATAGCACATACCCTCCCCAGTGTCCATAACCCCACCCCCCTTCTCCTAACCCCCCTCCCCTCATCAACCCTCAGTTTGTTTTGTGAGATTAAGAGTCACTAATGGTTTGTCTTCAGTTAATTTCTGAACATCAACTTTAGTCTTGCTATTTCATTGAGGTAAAGGGTAATATTCCTATTTTATTGACAGAAATTGAGTCATCTGTTCATAGCAGGAATTTTTGGTCGTCACACCAAGGCAGTTGCAGAGTTGAGGACATAAAGAATAGCTTTGTATTAATATTTGGACTAAAAAAAGTATTACTATCTCTCTAATGATTGTTTTCTTGAGCTCTCAGTTTTGAATTTTTACCATAACTTGTCTGTATTATCATAGGACACTGATCCTAATATTTTTCATTTGTACAAACTGTGCAGTATAGTGATGCATTGGGTAAGGATTCAGAAAATCTTGACTTAGTCCCAACTTGGCCACTGATTGATTTTGGCAAAGTTGCTTACTTTCCTGAGGCCTGTTTAAAGATAAGTAAAATCTTGCAAATGCAAGGGTCATTGGTAAATGAGCAGGTATTAATGCTTTAAAGCTAATGGGAGAAATTTGAATAGAAGAATGTATCTTTTTGACGTAATTATTAACATATATTTTTGAGTAAACAATTGTAGACATTGAAGATCTGGCAGGGTTTTTTGCTGTGTAATGGGAGTAATATACTTTCCTTGTAATTAAAATGATTAATTGACTTAAAATATGCATACTGTATTGAGTATTCAGATACTTAAAAAGACTGTTGAAGGATATTAAAATGGTATTTACAGTATTTGGCTTGATAACTATTAAAAGTATTTTGTTTATTATAGGACCAATTGAATGAATATGTGTAGTGAAATAGTAAGATAGATTTTTAGCATGTAGGTAAAATTCTATTTCATCTCTTCATAGCTCTATAAATAGCTAACGAAGGTTCCTTTGTGCCAGATCTAAGAGGTATGGGATTGGATGCTATTATTTTCTGGCCTTGTCTTTTTGATTTGTATCATTTCTTCGTGTGTCTTAAATACTACAGTAGCTGTCCCTTCCCTAATAAAATGTGCATTTGGAAACAGGGGTTAATTTGTCAGAGTTTTTCTCCGAAAAAAGCTGATACTGGGTTCATTTGAAGATTTGTTCAAGGCCACCTCAAGAAGAGGTGGTCTCTTCTGCCAGAATTAGAACTTTGAAACTCTGGATTTGAAATGTTAATTCAGACCACTGGTGTTTAAACTTTGTTTCTGCAGTGGAACCCATTCTTCAGTGAAAATTTTGTGACAGTCCCATTACATGAAAACAAAATTTTAGTTAGAAGTGGGCATTCCGGGAGGGTACATTCTCATTCATGCCATGATGACCCTAGGATAATCAGTTATGCTAAATTAGAAACACAGTTTGAAAACACAGATCTAAGATATGTTATCTTTCACATGGATGTTTTAAAGTGATAAACGATTGAGAAATACCTTTAATGTGATTGAGTTTTATCTTCCCTAAAATAGCTAAGTTGATTTTGTTCCCTTCCCAGTCCTTGACCTTCCTGTGAAAGTGATTTTTGAATGTTATTTTTAGAAACCAGAGTTTCTTAGACAGGTATTTTATGTAAATAGGCTATTATCTCTCATCTTTAATACAGATTATCTTTCTTTGTAGAATTACTCCATGTCTGTATATCTTGTACGACAGCTCACATCAGCCATGTTATTACAGAGATTAAAAATGAAAGGTATTAGAAACCCTGATCATTCCAGAGCACTAAGTAAGTAATGTTTGTAAGACTGAGCATTTGAGATGCTTTAATGGAAAAAACAAAACAAAACAAAACAAAAAACCCAAGCCAAGCCTTAAATATACATCAATACAGGGATAATTTGTGAAGAATTATTAAAAAAACCTAAAATAATTTGAGTTAATACTCTTATGAACAGAGCCCTATAATGAAAAGCCCTTCTTAGAAATCACTCCTAAGGATCAGTTTTATATCCCCACTGGTCTGATTTTTGGCTTTTTTATGAAAACTTATTTAGGTAAATGTCAGGTTGATGGTAATTTTGATGCATATGTTGACTCGCAAATAGGAATGCAAGTCTTCAGAACCTCCAGTGTGTAATGCAATGTACATTTTAAAAAATTCTAAACGAGAAAGCTCTTTTTGCAAAAGAAGTGTTGATATCTGTCAATAATATTTGACTTCTCAGAGGTTTTATTTTTTACTTTGCTTTCATAACGTATAATAATAGAGAAAAAGTCTAACTCAGACTGTAAATAATTCAGTAACTTAATTTAATTGAACAAGACATTTTTCTGGGAAAGACAATATTTTTCCCCCAGTTACTTCACTTAACGCTGGATGAACTGGAAAGGAGAAGAGAATCTACAGATTGAAAAGGGAGCCAAGTAGATCTGTTGAAATGGTTTGCATTTCTTGTACTTAAACCATTCTCATATCATTAAACAGCGGAGTTGCGGTCTTCCTGCCTAGAGCTGGAAGACAAGGAAGCACTTCCCTCCGTTTTTTCATCCCACTGCAGTTCCAGTTCCCATTTCCTTGCCTTTTCTCTATGATGGTGCTGAGTGTTAACCACCTGGAGGCCATGCATATGTTTGTGACCTTGTAGAGACTGTAACCTGTGTACATTACCGGGAAAATCAAACTGCAGAGGCATTAGCGCATCTCTTTCAGTTTTCAGTTGTTAAAGGAAGTATAAGAGTGTTTGGCTTTTTCGGTTTACAAATTTAATAGTTGTTGGAAACAACCAGAACCCCATAACAAAAAGTCCTCTGAGTGCGTGTGTGAGGAAAGCACTGAAGCTCCAAGCACAGCTCCTTTGCAAGTTCCTTTCCCAATTGTTATATTGTTCTTCAGTCTTACATAGTTGTCTGTTTTGAAACTCTTCCTTACCTGCAATTTTACTTCTAGAAAGAAATTACTTTAAAAATGCAATCAAACATGTGAATCTAGAGTTTGCAAGTTTGTAGTTCTTTAACCTAATACTGGAAGTATGATTGTGTTTTTACATTAATACTTAACATTTTGGGGGGTTTTTTGTTTGCTTTTTGTAGTTTCTTGACCTACTCAAAGTGTTTGGGAAACTTTAAATAAGATGATATATATTTCTGTAATCCTGTTCAGAATATTACAGTTAAAAAAATTTTTTTAAATTCTTTTTCTTTTTAAAGTTAAAGAAAAACTTACTGCAGATCCTGATAGTGAAATTGCTACAACTAGCCTTCGGGTATCCTTGATGTGCCCTGTAAGTAACGCAAAAAAACATTCCGGGGTGTTTCACTTTTTATAAATGACTAATTTTCCTATACAAGTAAGTGTGGGAATGAATGATACATTATGATAGAATTCAGAACTTTTGTCATTTTCCCATTCAGGAATTTTAATGATTAAACCTAATTCTAAAGAATGCAAATGTTCTTCAAACAATGACTAAGCAAGGAAAGATCTAAAAGGGTATTGTTTCAAAAAAGGAAGAGAGCTTTAGGTTCAGAATAATCTGTCACAGTTTTTTTTTTTTTTTGCTGTAGATAGTCTACAGCTAATAGTAAATATTTAGAGAGAATAGAGAGTTGGCTCCTTTTATCAGAATATAGACTGTGTTGAAAAATAGCAGTAAAATTACTATCACCTAATAAATGCTAATTGATGGTTCTGGTTTAATGAATTAGAATGTTTGAGATGTCTTTATCTGTTTGTAATGCACTTCTAAGTTGCATAATAATTTTATGTCTCTTTATATAGAGACTATGGAGTGGAAATCGGTCAGCAACTCTCAGATCCTCCTGTGTTCTTGTTACTGAGCTAATTTTGGGGAGAAAATACCGAGGACTTGATAAGAACTTGTCAGAAAGTTAATAGTCTACTTTGAGAGATAAAACTAACTCACATGAGAAAACGAAGACATACATACCACATGTAACCTTGCTAAGCGTAGGGAGAGGTCAGGAATAGTGGATGAAGGCTTCTCTAAAATCAGTACTGGTGGAGGGGAACCTTTCCACATGCAAGGAACTTTATGAGAAAAGTCATGGAATCAGGATTGTAGTTTTGGGAGAACCTCATGACCAGCCGCCATTGTGAGAAATGTACAGTATTTAAGTGGAGAGAGAATTGTGTCAGAGAGAGGGAGAGAGAAAGGAATAATTTGTTGAGTTCCCATGATGTGCTTCTTAATTTAACTGTCTTAACAAACCTGTGTGGAAGAGTTGTTCACATTTTGTAGTTGAGGGAACTGAGATTAAAAGTGGTTGGATAACCCACATCACACAGTAGCAAAACAAGGATAAAAATTTTGGTCTTCTGACATTATACAAGATACCTTAACAATATACCATAATACCAAATTGGGCTAAAATATAAATATCCTTGTTATATAAGCTCACCTCTCTGTCACCCTGGAAAGTGATGTTTGCAGATCTCTTTCTTTCTGAATTTATTTTTTAATTACCATTAACTTAAACTAACTTAGCTCTGTTGAAAAGGAATAGAAATGCATGAAATTGGATTGCTTAGAAATGGTGAACCTGTGGTTGTCAGATCCAGAGAGAAGAAAGTCTGCTGTTCCAGCAGCGGGGGTGGGGAGCATTGATGCCTGAAGTGGTGGCAGAGGCCCAAGAGAGCTTGTGTTTGGACCCAGGACCTCCTCTTCTACCCCCATGCTGTGTGCAGACCTTGAGACGTGATTTCTTTTGAGTGTCTTCACATTACTCTTTTCCTCCCTCTCGTGTTAAAATGGATGTTAAATTGAAACACAGGAGATTGCCATTTTGTTGGTCAAAAATAGTCGTATATTGACAGGTTTCTTACAGTTTAATCCTAGTATATTGAGCAAATGTTGTTTACTGGCTATATTCTAGGCATAATCACTACATGGGAAGGGAATTCATGTTACCTCTATGTTTTAGTAGCACACTATTCTGTTAGTAAGAAAGTGCTTCTGGATAGCTTACCTAAAGAGTTCTAACGGTTACATGATTCCATTTTCTGTCTTGTCTCCTTGACCTTGTTTTTTTTTTAAAGTTTTTTTTTTTCTGTTTTGTTTTTTTTAAAAACACTGTGTTATTCTGTATGAGAACAACCCAAACAAAACATAAGAGACTGACATACTAACAGATTCTCAGATTTTCAAAATAGTGGAAGTGGTATATCAGAGCGGTTAAGATTCCTTCTATATAAGAGTAGGGAACAGTTCCTTTTCACTAAGTCTCTTTTGCAGATTATCTTTTGATCTTTGAAAAAAAATCACACTACCTGATTTTTTTCAGCACTTTCTAAGAAAAGAGTAAGTGGTACTTTCCAGGCTGTAGTAGTGTTAACACAAAGTTGAAGCTAACTGTAGTATATGATACATGTTAATTAGAACACCAAACAGATGTTTTGATCAGATTTAATAGATGGATGACAGAAGTTAGATGATGAGAGGAGGAGATAATACCAGTATTAGCTGAAAAGAGCAGAAAGGAGTGCAGCCTATTGGCTGCAGAAGTAGCAGCGGATCCAGAGTGGTGCTAGGAAATACAGAAGCACAGAGTGGATCGTAAGCATTTGGAAGGATAAGACATGAACCCTGGGATAAGGAAGCTATCAGAAAATGATAGCTGCCAGGTACTGGAAGAAGTGTTTGTCCCATTTCACAGTATATTTGTAAAATGATTCAGAGTAGACTTGAGTCTGGGGAGTGGGGAGTGCAGTCCAAAGCCTCTGTCCTTGGGACTTACAGAAGGCAATTTTACTGTTGTTCGAGGGAGGGATCTAAGTGTATATAATTATATTTCTGAACAGTGTCTGAATTTTACAGTTTTTAAAATTTATCAATTTTAGTAATATCAGCTAGTGATTTTCTGTCTTTCCCGCAGAGGTGGGCTGGGTGGCTGGGGGATAGAGAAGGGGGCTAGGTTTGATTTTATCTTTTAAGATTCTGACTCATGTATAGTTTGGATCCACTGATGTGGGTCATTTTTACTATATACATTCTTAATTTACGTAGATGCATTTAGGCTACAACAAACTGAAAATCAGTTTAGGTACTCTGTACATAACATTGCACTCTGATGTTCATAGCAACATGATCCACAATAGCCAAAGTATGGAAGCAGCCCAAGGGTCCATCGACTGATGAATGTGATATATTACTCAGCTATAAAAAAAGATGGAATCCTGCCATTTGTAATGACATGGGTAGAGCATGAGAGTATTATGCTAAGCAAAATCAGTCGGAGAAAGACAGATACTATATATGATATAATTCATACATGGAATTTAAGAAACAAAACAAATGGGGTGCCTGGGTGGCTCAGTGGGTTAAAGCCTCTGCCTTCGGTTCAGGTCATGATCCCAGGGTCCTGGGATCGAGCCCAGCATCGGGCTCTCTGCTCAGCGGGGAGCCTGCTTCCTCCTCTCTCTCTCTCTGCCTGCCTCTCTGCCTACTTGTGATCTCTGTCAAATAAATAAATAAAATCTTTTTTAAAAAATTAAAAAACAAAACAAATGAGCAAAGGGACAAAAAAGAGAGGCAAACCAAGAAACAGACCCTTAACTATAGAGAACAAACCGATGGTCACCAGAGGGGAAGGGGGGGGGCGTGTGATGGGGAATTAAGGGTACATCACACTTGTGATGAGTACCAAGTAATGTTTGGAAGTGTTGAATCACTATATCATAACATCATAACACTATATCATAACATCTGAAACTTAGATTACACTGTATGTTAACTGGAATTTAAGTAAAAACTTAAAAAATATTTTACTAATCAAAAAAAGTATTGCATTGTTTAGGAACCATTCCTTCCATCCATCCGTCCATCCATCCATCCATCCATCCATCATCTGACTAAATAGAATTTAATGCATACAAAGCTGCTTTTGTTGACGCGCCATGATCAGTATTAGGAAATTAATCAGATTTGGCCAGTTGGTAATAAATGCTTTTTTTAACTTGAGAAATGCTCATTAACTTTTGTGAGCCACTAGGATTAAATTTAGGATCAGCAGCTTCTATAGTTGTGAATGTTTTCAGTTCTCTGTATCGTGGAAATTTTAAGGCAGTGACAGGAGAGATGAAGGTGGTACCTAAGAAGAAGAAGAAAAAAAGCAAGTTCCCAAAGCATGGCTCAGGGATACTTGGGGGCCCTGAGACTCTTTGAAAAGGCTCACAAAGTCGGAGCAATTTTTAAAATAATACTATGATGCAGTTTGTCTCTTTTCTGTTATTCTCTCATGAGTAGGCAGTGGTGTTTAATAGGGATTACCTGACTACTGGTAATGTCAGTGTTCCGAGCGTTGATGTAGTGTGTATTTGTGGGTTCTTGTGTTTTAAAAATGTCTGCTTTAATTGCTACTACAATAAATATTGGTAAATATAATCTATATATATAAAAACTCCTTGAGATTCTCAATGTTTAAGAGTGTGAAGGGATTCTGAAGCCAAAAGTATGAGAACTAGGAGCCCCCACCCCCTCCAAAGAAATCATAGTAGGCTGAGTTAGAGCATTATTTAAAGGAAACAAGTTATGGAAATTGACAAATAGTAACTACTTTATTATAAAATTATTCAAATAGAACAGACATTAAAACTTGAAAATGATAAGATCTCTTACTCAGAAGTAATGCTACTAGTAGTATGAAATAAATCTTTCTAGACTGAACTTTATGTTCATAGTTATGTATGTTTATTGGAAAAAATTGTATTGTGCTACATATACTATTCTGTGGTTTACTGTTTTAAAATTAACAGTATATTTTAAGTATTAATACCTGTAGATATGTCTTATTTTAATCATACAGGCATTTTGTTGATTGGGTGTGGTGTAAATTAACTTGTTCCAACCTTTTTAGTGATTATTTAGGTTGTTTCCAAATAAAAAGCAACGATGAAAAATTCCTAAGCAAAACACTAGCCAGTAGAATCCATTACTTTAAAAAGAATCCGGTATTTTATAAGAATAATACATGATAACAAAAGGATACCTCTTAGGAATGCAAGTATGGTTTGATTTTAGAAAAACTGTGAAAATTGTTTATATTAATAATGGGAAGGGGGTCAGGAAATTCCTGTGATCATCTCATTAGGGTGCTAAGCATTCAGTCAGCTTCCATTCCTAATAGAACAAAAACTCTTAGCAAAATAGGAAAAGGTGGATAATTGGAACCAAGAACCAGCACCATGTGTGATGTTGTAAAGCTAAGAGGAGTCCCATGGAAGTAAACATTTGTGTTTGCGCTAGAGCTCCACCAGCTGGGTCTCAGTGGGTGTGTTGTTTGTGGCCTCACGTCGTCTCAGCATCTTTATTTCAAAAGCAGAAATACAGATACTAGTCTTTCTGCAGTCCTAGGGCCGTTAGGAGAATTCTGTGAAATGTATGTAAAAATCCTTAGCGCCCAGTAAGATTCCACATGGCTTAGGAGAAAATCTGTTATTAAAGGAAGGGAAAATTTGGAAGCAAATATTGTAAGAAAATGAAATGCCTTAGGTTCTATTCTTACTTTTTTCTTTATTAAATAATAAGTTCTGTTGTGCCATGTACTTGCGCGAATCACTGTAACTTCCAAGATCCCTTTTAGAATTCTAGTTAAACACTCAGATGGAGTCAGTATAGCACAGTGATAAGATACGGACTCTGGAGCCAGAGCTGCTCGGTTCAGATATTGGCGCTGCCACTTTCTAACTTTGTAATGGTAGTCATTACTTAGCTTCGTTGTGCCTTGGTGTTCTCAGGGTGGGAGTGGGGGAGACAATAATGTCTCTAGATGAGTCATACAGTGCAGTTGTTAGGTTTAAATATAAAGTGTCACTTCATAATATAAAGTCATCAACATCGTGCCTTCTATGTAAGTACAACTATACAAACAATAGTTATTGCTATGCTGACAACTTGGCTAAATTAATTTTTTTGATTACGAAATAAACAAATGTTCATTTTAGAAGAAAGAAATTATAGATTAAACCATAAAGGCGGGGTGGGGGGTACCAAACAGGAGCATTCTAAGACTCCTACCCCTCAGGCAAAGTTAACAGTGTAATTTTGCTGTGAATTTTTCTAGACGTTATAGTGCCCATAAAGAAGTCCTTCCTGCTTCCCTTTCTTTCCCATTGCTGTTTTTCTAGTCTGTCTGTCTTTGTTCTGTCATCTGATCAGCAGATTCTGAGCACATGCTGCATTTTAGGTGCTGTGCTGTGACACTTGGATTACAGTGGTGAGCAGTGACATGGGTCTTGTCCTTGTGGAGTCTAGAGTCTAGTGGGAGAAACAGATTTTCTATCCGAATAACACACAGCTGGTTGTAAGCTGAGAGATTTTCTGTAAGGAAGTACATAGGGAGGGCTGTTGAAAGGCTATAGCGACAGACTCCATCTAATCTGGGTGTGTGTCCTGGTGTTGGCATACCTCTACCCGCTGGAATAAGAACTGAACAGAGCACTGTAGTTATATAAAAGTATATCGGAATATCAGCACATGTGATTATACACAAGTAAAAAATTCTCATAAGTGAAAAATATATTTGCAGTTCACATCATCATATATATGAGGCTGACTTAATATAGAGCTGCTGTAGATAGATACCAAAGACTAAATGGAAAATGAGAAAAGGTTATGAATAGACGGTTCTTAGAAGCACAAATGGCTCTTAGAAGTAAAAAAGAAGCTCTACTTAAAATAAGGGAGTGTAGTTCACAACAAAATGGGGTTTTTTCACCTATCAGGTTGGCCGAGATCAGAGTTACAGCACTGTGTGTGCAAGGTTGAGGGGAACCAAGTGCACTGATACACATATGTGCATACATTGGTAGGTAGGCAGCTTCTGTGGGAGACCTTTTGTCAGTGTGACAGAAATCATAAATGCACTTTCCCTTTGACCGCAAAATATCACTTCTAGGAGTCCGTCCTGTAGATATTTACTGCAGCATTATTTGTAGTCATAAAAGATTGGAAACAATTTAAACGTCTGTCGCTAGGGCAGGGTACTAGTTAAATAAATAATGAGCCTTCATATCATACGCTTCATTATCAGTTATGATACCTTCATATCATGGTAGCTTTTTGTGTTCTGATATGTATGAAACAGTCACCAAGGATATTATGTGACAGTTGGTACAGAATTGTGTGGATTGCATGCCACCATTTCTGGGAAAATTTTTTAAATACATACTTGATTATGCGTAGACCCAGTGCAAGGACAAGCAAGAGATGGGCAACAGTGGTTCCCTCTAAATAGGGGAACAGGTAAGAAAGAGTCACATTTTTCTTCCTGTGAATTTGCATGTTGATTATTTTAAAAATGTGAAATGGGCTTTTAAAAATCATAGGGCCATCAGTGAATACAAGTGAAACATGTAGCAATCTTGATAGAGATAAATTCTGGTTTAAATTTTTTCATTTTGATTTTCTCATAAGATCTTTTCAGACTTTTATGAGTGATCCTTGCCTTTGAGGCTTTATTCTCCTTTCTGAAAAGTTTCCCCCTGTTGTCTTCCCTGTCCTGTAGTTAGGGAAAATGAGGTTGACAATCCCGTGCCGTGCAGTGACTTGTACACATCTGCAGTGTTTTGACGCTGCCCTTTATCTGCAAATGAATGAGAAGAAGCCCACCTGGATCTGTCCCGTGTGTGATAAAAAAGCTGCCTATGAAAGTCTCATTTTAGATGGGTAAGTGTATCCCAGCCTACGTGTTAGCATATGTAAACAGTCAGTACAGCCTCATATACATTTTAGTCTAGCATTGTGTTACCATTCGTATTTATTGTTAAACTCAGAGGGGCATTGGTCTGTTGTTTTCTTGTAGTGTCTTTGTTTTATTTTTGTTTTAAGATTTTATTTACTTGTGTATTTTAGACAGCATGAGCATGGGTTGTGGGGAGAAAGGCAGAGGGAGAGGAGAGAGTGTATCTCTCAAGCAGACTCCGTGCTGAACATGGAGCCCTGCGCCGGGCCCAGTCCCACTACCCATGAGATACTGACCTAAGCCAAAACCAAGACTCAGACGCTCAACCCACTGAGCCACCCAGGCATCCCCTTTGTCTCCTTTTAATACCACCGTAATGTTGACCTCATGCAAATGAGTTGGGAAGTGGTGGTATCATGTCTTCACAAATATTTGGTGAAATTCCCTAGTGAAGATGTTTGGGACTGGGCTTTTCTTTGTGGTAAAGTTTTTAACTACAAATTCATTTTCTTTAATATACCTGGGTTTCCTCAGGTTATCTATTTCTTTTTGAGCATTAGTGTGGCTAGAAGTTTGTCGATTTTATTGATCTTAAAGCCCTAGCTTTTTGTTTTCATTGATTTTTTGTTTTTTTTTTTCTATTTCGTTTGTTTCTTTTCTTTGTTATTTCCCTTTTCATGTTTAATTTTAATTTTTTTTCTGGTTTCATTAGGTAGAAGCTGAGGTCATTGATTTGAGTCCTTTTTTAATATAGGAAGATTAGTGCTATAAATTTTCTTCCAAGTACTGCTTTAGCTATATTCCACAAATTTTATTATATTTTCCTTTTTGTTCAGTTCTAAATACTTTCTAATTTATATTTTTATGTGGGTTTTTTTTTTTTTGTCTCATTGGTTGTTTTGTTTAGTTTCAAAATATTGGCATTTTCCACATATTTTTCTGAAGATGATTTCGAATTTCACTATGGACATAGAACATAATTTGTATGCAGAGTTATTTTAAATTTTTTCATGTCCCTAATCCTCCTTTTCCCTACCTGATGATCCTTTTTTCTTGAGAATAAGCTTATAAATTATTTTTCATATAATAACCTTTATATTTCCTTATGTTTGTTTTATATGTTGTGTTGGAAATTGTTCTTACTGGCCAATCCCAGTTAGGAGGCTCCAGGTGTCTTTCTGTTTAGTCACTGATTTCTTAGATGATACTCAGTAAGTCACTTATGTTGCTCATTAGAGATCTAAAACCTAGGAGGAGGGGATGTAGTAGTTGTTGTAAAATGTGAAGTTATTGAAACACCAAACAAAAAAGATAGCATTATTTTCATCTCCAAGGCAGTATATGTATTACTTTGTTAGTTCACCGTTGAACAAAGCCATTGATTACATTTATGCAATTCTTAATTGGTTCATAGGCTTTTTATGGAAATTCTCAATGACTGTTCTGATGTGGATGAGATCAAATTCCAAGAGGATGGCACTTGGTGTCCAATGAGACCGAAGAAAGAAGCTATGAAAGTGTCCAGCCAGCCATGTACAAAAATAGAAAGTATGTGCAGAATGGCTACAGAGAGCAAAGCAATGAGACTCCTACAGTGTTGTTTTTATTGTTAACCTTGGCCGCTAGAACTACATTTGGAGCTCAGTTTGCGAACTTTATCTTTTGATCATCTGTTACATATGTAATTTCCCCCGAATGATTTTTACTCTTTCCTTCAGAAATGTGCTAAAGTTTATACCATCTTCTAATTAGCTTTTTCATAATATATTTTTATATGTAAAGTAAATGAAACAATCATCTGAAGTTATTTTAATATATGGTGTTTGTTACAAAATGAAAAGTTATAAATGACTTTTTTTTTTTTTTTTAAGATTTTATTTATCCACTTGACAGAGAGAGATCACAAGCAGGCAGAGAGGCAGGCAGAGAGAGAGAGGGGAAGCAGGCTCCCCGCCGAGCAGAGAGCCCCATGTGGGGCTCGATCCCAGGACTCTGAGATCATGACCTGAGCCGAAGGCAGAGGCTTAACCTACTGAGCCACCCAGGCGCCTTATAAATGACATTTTTATGGACGATTTTTCAGGATTCTTTGTAGAGTACCTTTTGGGGGAACTGCCAGTGGAGGTGTGCTTAGAGAGGCAGAATCCATCAGTGGAGGGTGGGGGCAGGTGCTCACAGGTCAGTTGCTAAAAAAGTGAACAGATTGTTTCCATTTCTTTATAGGAAGGAATTTGACCATTGCCTTGGTTACCTAGGATGTATACTCAGCTCTCTCTACCCAGCCACACTGAGTGGAGAAACTTAGGGCAGTACCATAATTGAAACCTGTAGGTGAACTTAAAATTTTCTTTTTATCTGATAATAGTCCACTCACTACATTTATGCTTTGTGCTGATTATGTTTGACACTCTACCAGTGTAATGAATAATGGGTACTCAAGAGTAAAAAGTGAAAGATTCATGTTAATATTAATCATTCTCCTGGGGCACCTGGCTGCCTCATTCACTATGAATGAAACTCTTGATCTGAAGGTCCTAAGTTCAAGCCCCACATTGTGGTGTGGAACCTACTTTAAAAAAATTCATTCTCCTGTGATTGTTACTGAACCTACAGGTAGAATTACGATCAAGGTTTCCCTCATCTTTGAGAAGAACAGTGATATAGTTGATTAGTTGCTGCTTTTCCATTATCAGCCAGCATTAGTTTTCTGTTAAAGAGATTACAGGGCATAATGTAATTTCTGTGAACTGGTGTGTTAACATATAGTATATGAGGGCAGAAAGGAGGACCTAAGTGATTAATAGATAGTTGATAAGAAAAGCTTTAACTGTCTGAATAATTTAAAAGAGAAGTTTGGAGTTTTTTCAGCTCATGAAGGTTTAAATTTTTATCAGGTTCTGGCTTATGGTGAGGGGCCTCTACAGTATCCTGACATGAGTACTGTTGCTTTGCTAGAGTGAAAGTATCTGATTCTGACTTAACAGTGCCGCACATCTGTAAGAATACACAGCCCATGAAGCCACTTACTCTTGCCTGTGGCTGAGATTGGACCCCTAACCCTAGGCTGCCTATAAAATGACTGCTTACCTGGGGAGGCAGGCAGTGTGAGCAGCAGGATTTGAGCACGTCCTCTGGCAGTCCTGGGGACATAAGAGCATGCTGTTCGAAGGAGGCTTTGACACTCTGGCCATGCATAGAGCTTACTTTTTGTCCCCAGATTAAGCAGTCACTTTATAGACAAATGTCTGGAGTTAAGGAGTTCGTCTCTATCCATTGGGCACAGTATGTGTCTTTACTGGTTGTATATTCTCCTGGACTTGCTCCACAGTTAAGACTTAAGGTTAGAGTTTGTGTCCCACCTTTGATTTTTTTTCTTTTACTTCTCTTCCCCACATCAGGTTCAAGTGTCCTCACTAAGCCATGTTCAGTGACTGTAGCCAATGAGACAAGCAAGAAGAAAGTGGATGTTATTGACCTAACAATAGAAAGCTCTTCTGATGAAGAGGAAGACCCGCCTGCCAAAAGGAAATGCATCTTTATGTCAGAAACACAAAGCAGCCCAACCAAAGGGTTTGTTAATTTATAGTTCACTATTGTTTATTACATTTGGAACTAACTGTTCTTGGTACAGGTTTGTAAATGTCTCTGAGAGTTGCATAACCATAGAAGGCTATTTTCATTTGCCTTTATTCAGTTGAAATATTTTCAAGAAAGCATCTTGTTTAAAGGAGAGAAAATTTTGATGAAGAAATTATTAACACCCTTGGGAAGTAAGAGTTGAAGTCTTCTCATGTATAAGTATTTATTTCCTATTTGATCCTTTTTTGTCATTTTTCTGGAACCTATATTTGGCATCACAGCCAACATGAGTAAGCCCAGCATAAAAATGGAGTGTGGCATTGGGAATCTGACAAGTGTGGGTTCCAGTTTTGATACCATTGCTTACTAGTACCGGGATCTTGACTAATATACTTATGTGAGCCTCCTTTTTCTGCTTTGTAAAATGGGGTTAAATAATACCTACCTCAGAAGATGATTGTCTGGTTTCAGTAAGAGAGAGAGCTTAGGCTCATTGTCAGGCATGTGGTAGTCTCTTAGTAAAAATTGGTTGCCTTCCTATTTCATCCTCTCCAGGGCAAACTGTGGGCAAGTAAATGCATTCTAGCATGTCATGTTTTATGAGTCATATGGCAGAAGCTGTTGCTGTCTTATGTAGTAAGTGATAGCTTTAAGTATCTGTCAACTGGTGCTTCTTAGAAATTGTGGAACCTGTAAGATAGTAGCAGAGGGTTTTTGTTACCTTCCATGAACATACTGTATTAGACTTGGGTGTGCCAGTCTTGTCCTTTGGGCCTCTCAATGCACTTATTTTTTCTGTAATTTATATGCCATAACATTTTCCCATCTTAACTATTAAGTTGCCCAGTTTATTGATTTTAGTGAATTCAGAGAGTTGCCCAGTCATCATCACAATTCAGCTGTAGAATATTTCCAACACGTAGTAAACATCTCTCATGTTCACTTGCAGTTAATCCCCATTCACACCCCAAATCTAGGCAACTGTTTATCTCCTTACCATCTCTATGAATTTGTCTGTTCCAGACATTTTATATAGGTGGAATTATACTCTCAGTGTATTTTGGCCCAAAAGGACTAGAAGTTATAGCTACCCAGCTCATTCCATGAAGTCAGCTTAATTCCTAATACCCAAATGAGATTTACACATTAACAACCGTGCAGAAGGAAGCTGGTTCACATTTGAAAGGCCAATGAAAATTCTGAATTCAGTCTTAGAAAATCATTTAATTATATATTAAAATGGTATCCATTACTACAAAGTGTAGGGTTCATCCAGGAATGCTTTATTGTTAAGAAATACATTGATAAAATGGATCGTGTAATAAGGATAACTATGTAGTCATCTTAATGGATTCTGGAAAGGTATTTTTCATTAATAGCCATTCCTGAGAGAAACTCTTTGAAATATCAGAATTTACTTAAGGTTTGAAGGGTTTACCACTGAAGCTGATTTATTCTTAGGCTGCATTAATGAAAGAGGCATAGTGTCCAGGGTATATACCTACACTAGTTTTATTCTGTTTAAGGCTAGGTGATTTTTATTTAATACCACTCCAGTCAGTGTTGACCATGAGCAGATGGGAACAGGTGGTAGTGCATCCTGTAGCATGATGGATGGATAGATGGGTCTAAGGACTGACGCTGTTAAGCCAGGACAAGAGAAGATGTGAATATGTGAATATCTTGTAGTTCTTAAAAGGGAATCATTGACTAAGTGGATTAAGTTTATTCTGTGTAATAAAATTTGGGAGATTTAAGTCCAGTGGAGGGAAGATACATGGAAAGACTTCAAGCTGGAGCTGAACACTAGGAAAGTTGATGTTTCCTGCTAAAATCACATTTTCTTTATTGAGGTAGAATGGATGCCACCTGTCCCAGTGGGTGTCATGGAGACTACTCATGCTGTGGATATATTATCTCTGTATTCCCTTCCAACTCTTAATGCTTTTCTGGTTTTGTTCTTGGTCATCCTTTTCGTATTGTCTTGTGGCTCAGCATCTAGAATTTTCATGGTTTTCTTCTGCTGTGTAAGTTTATCGTGGGACTTCTTGGTCAATGATAGTAAGCAAATGAGAAAGAATAGAGAATGAGAAACCAGAAAAACTTGCTTTCAGTTACGTTCCAGAGAGCAGTTATTTTTTTTTTTTAAGATTTTATTTATTTATTTATTTATTTGTCAGAGAGAGAGAGAGAGAGAGAGAGCGAGAGCGCACAAGCAGGCAGAGTGGCAGGCAGAGGCGGAGAGAGAAGCAGGCTCCCTGCTGAGCAAGGAGCCCGACACGGGACTCCATTCCAGGACCCTGGGATCATGACCCCAGCCAAAGGCAGTGGCTTAACTCACTGAGCCACCCAGGGATCCCAAGAGAGCAGTTATTTTTGAAGAGGTATTGTTTTAGTAAAAATTGTTTTTTGTTTATTTAAGATTGATTTATTTATTTTAGTGCACGTGAGCTGGGGAAGGGGCCAAGGGGAATGGAGAGAATCCCAAGCAAACTCTTTGCCTGAGCACAGATCCTGACATGGGGCTTGATCCCACAACCCTAAGATCATGACCTGAGCCAAAACCACGAATCAGATGCTCAACCCACTGAGCCACCCAGGCACCCTTAGAAATTGTTTTTAAAAACAATTTCACAGTTGTTTTATAATCAAGAGGTAGAATGCATTCCACCTAGACATAGCTTCTGTTAACATTTTGGTGGTAATCCTTCTAGCCTCCCTCCTTGAATACATACTCTAGTCCTTAAATGTGGTCATAATAGTAGTTATCAGAAGAGACTGGCACATTAAGACTTTTAGAAAAACCTCTAATATTTTTCTACATTATAAGTTAATTTTAAATACTATGTCCCCACCCCATTCCTTGAATCATTGAATGATTACTTTGTCACTAATAAGGTATTCTAAAGATAGGCATAGACAAATATACAGATACTTGTGTGGATTAAGACTCATTAGAAATTGGTAACAAAATTGAATCTTTTCTATGTTTGTATGATAAAGTGGGAGCACACAGGGAATTTCAGGTTTATGGATAAAAATTCAAGTTACTGAACTGTTAACTCATTTTTAGACATTTAAGCCTGGACCAAGTATGATGAATTCAGTGATCTAGTACATGGTCTAGAATACTAATATTTGCTCTCCAGCAGTGTTCCAGCAGTTTACCTTTGTGCTCGGATGTTAGGGATAAAGCTACAAAAATTTAAAATATATATGTACACGTGCATAATATGTACCTATGCCTGTGTATTTGCCAATCCTGTGAGAAGGCAGTAACAAGTTACAAACTTTCAATTTTTTCTGTCACTTTATAGTATCACATTTTTATACCCATAATTCCATTAGATACAGCCATTTACATTTCGCGTTATTCCATATTTATAAATACATCTGTTTTTTTGGATAGACATTAGACTCATTTACCTTTTTGAATGTAGTCCTCATGAATATTCTGATTAAAACCAAAATCTGCTACCAATGCGTAATTTGATAATGGTCACAAATGACTAATTTATCCATTCTGTAAAAATAGAATTTATGCTAATGGTTGCAAAGTTCAGGCAAAAGGAATTAATCTACACAAAATAGTTTAGTTTTTCAGATGTTTGCTAAGATTTTAGATGTTGATCTAATAATTTGTACCCTCATTGGATTTTGACATTTTCACATTTTCTGACCATCAGCATTTTGTATTGGAGAAACAAAGAGTAGTTACTTATTTAAAGTTTCGTGTTATGAGAACAGAACCTGTGTGATAATTAGATGTTACTATGGTGATAGACTGTGTCTTGGGACACTGACTTGATGCTACAGGTGTAAGTAACGGAGCCGGGGAGGAAAGTGAGTTTTGTTGGTGTCACCTCTAAATCTGGTTCACATTCAGAGATCAATTCAGGATCAAGATAAAAGAAACTTCTCAGTATGAGATACCAAAGGAAGAGAAAGAGCAGGAGGAAGGTAGGCATGTGTGTATGGTAGGTGTATGTGTGTATCTTCAAAAGCTTGTCTCTTACATATAAAAAAATATGATTAAGATATTTAAACTATGAGACAGCCAGATTAATCAGAGCCACTTATGTAACCCCCTTCTCAGCAGGACCGTACCAGTCTCTCTCTGTCTTAGGCCCTGTCCTCCCACCCCAATTACAGATAGACATACCTATGTGGGAGGTAGGATCACGTGTAATTTGAAAATACTTTTGGTGATTACAATGTAGAGGACCACTGTTTTCAGACCTCTAAGATGTGCTTTAATACAGCATAACTTACTTGATTTCATCCCCAGTTTGTTCTTTCTCCCTCCACAGAATCTGCCTTTTCTAGTATTACCTCCTGGTTGTGGTTTTAGGTCTCCAGGTAACACTGGAAGCCAAGAAGCCTTCTGTTTCTAATCCAGGCAGGTTGTTCTTTGGGTAATGACTTCCATCTTCATCTACCTCTGGCAAATGTGTTTGAAATACCAGACTTCTGTTAATTGTCTTAAGCATGTTATGTTTCCTATGTGTCCATTCTTAAGACTTCTGAACTCCGACCTATGTTATTTATTCACTATTCGGAGAATAACATAGTTGCCAACACAGCTATATATGTACTCTCAAGATGACTTCATTTTCCGCATTTCTAGTGACTTCTGTATTTTCGACAAAGAGTACAGAATAAGAGCTAGACAGGATCCTCATGTCATCATGCAGACGAGTTTTAGAATGACTCCAGTGTCTAAATAGGTTGTGATTATTTTAGGGGTTTGAGATTTAGATTGAAGTCATAAAATAGTTTTGTCAGTTGTTTAAAGTATGAAAAGCGTCATGGGACTTTGTCATCATTTCTCATCGCTAGTACGTAATGATCAGAGCAGTAACAAGAAGTGTTGCGACCAAATGAAAAGGCATCTAGAGGTCCTAGTGGTCATCTCAGTCTAGTTCTGTGACCATGGTGCTAAGTTTTTGTTGGTTTTACTTTCTTTGTTTTTGTAATGATCCCTTCCAACTCCATAATTCTGTGGCTCTCTTAAGCTTACAGTAGTTCACTGGCAATGCTTTGGGATGCTATCATTAATGTCCCTGTCTCCTCTCCTTTTTTTTAATTTAATAAATTTTATTTTTCAAAATGTATAGTTGGTGGGACGTGTTATGCATCTTTACTAGTAGTAGGGGCACCCCAACCTTGGTATTCCTGGCATAAATCACTTTGAACGCCACCATGTTTAGAAACAGCTTAATGAGTCCTTTACTAAGGAGTTCCTCCTGAAGGGGGCTGCTGTGGCCAGGCAATTGTAAATCTCTGCTTTCTTTCTCAGAGACAGCAGCTGGACTTACTAGTGTATAGCTGGGAACTTCCTTATAGAGTTTGTCACATGGGGTCCTTGTCAAACTCGTTTGACAGGTTATTGATCTTAGGTCCCAAACTTTACCTTTGGACTTTTTTTGGTTTTGGCCACAGATTTGTTCACTGGGTCTTTATCTTTCTTGCCTGACTTTCCTGCATCTGTTTTTTTTCTTGTCCTTGGGTGGCATCATGAAGCTCAGGGAACAGCTGCTACCACTGCAGCCTCATTAAGATGGTAGACAGAAAAGATGGCCACCACCACCAGCCATAGGGTCCCTAACGTTGCTTAATTTCTTGTGTACTTTCGAGATGTTTTTCTTGTGAGGTTCTAATTGTTGAGCTTGGGCAACTAAGAGAAAATGAAGGTTAAATAGATAGAATGCAGTCATCTCTCTTTATTCCTGACATTTAAAAAAATATAATTAATTACACTGCTTCTTGAAATGATAAAGCTGTAATTATATATATATATACACACATACACATATATATACATATACATATATATACATACATATATATAGTGTGTGTATATATGTATATATAAATAAAACTAGTTATAGTGTATTTTTTAAGTGTGTTTAATTTGTACTCTTAGCATGATAAGTTAATTTCAAAGTCTGTATATAAACCCTTTTAGGGTAGACGGGTGTCCTAGTAACTTAACATTTTTATTTCCGGATATTTTAAATCTTGAGAAATCATCTTATTCTAATTTCTGACTGCTGCCTATTGTCATCTTGCTGGCTGGCTTTAGGATGGGCTCTCTTTTGCTCAGATGAATTCTCAGATAAGATTGCTGCTAATTAACACAGTTCGGGTTAGAATGGATGGGCTTCTGGTTGAGCTATATAATAAGTAGCTTCACTTTTAAGATGCAGTGATTTAAATCAAATCTTAGGAGTCCTCTGTTTTATTTCTAAGTTTCTTTATAGATAAAATTACTAATAGCCACATCTGTGTTACCCATGCGTTAATAAGAGCCTGTGTGAAGTGTATTTCCACTTGTGGATGACTGTTTCCTGCCCTGCTCCAGCACTATACGTTATGTTTTCGTGTCAGCTTGCTCTCACATCGCAGCTGCTGCTGAGAGCCTTCGTACGTTCAGGTTATAATGAAGACTGTTAGGAAAGAGGAGAGTAGAGTGGAGGGACTGTGTAGTGAGCAGCCGCCATGTCGGTGTGTTGAAACTTAGTGCACTTACGGCTGAGAATGCCCAGGGGTGCAGCCCTTGTCTCCTGTGAACTAACAGCCAGATTGTTTGTAATTTCCCATGCTATTTAAAACAGGGTTCTCATGTATCAGCCATCTTCTGTAAGGGTGCCCAGTGTGACTTCGGTTGATCCTGCTGCTATTCCGCCTTCATTAACAGACTACTCAGTACCATTCCACCACACGCCAATATCAAGCATGTCATCAGATTTGCCAGGTATGTGAAGAGTTCTTGTATTTTGTTACCAAGTTTTATTTATTTTTACTCTAAATCTGTGGAGCAAATGTAGTGTTAAAATTGAAACAGAAATACTAAGGAAATTTGAAGGCTTCTTTTAAAGGTAGCATCTGTTTTAATGCATCACATTCAAGTCCTACCATTTTAACTACAGAGCTCTCTATAGATTCCTGATGATAGGAAATATGGTAGGATAGGGGAGAATTTGATGGACTTTACTCTCCCTCCTAAGGAATTTGTACTCAGAAATTCTTTCTCATAGCAGGTTCACAGTTTCAGGAGAGTATTTTCTGATGATCTTCTTGGTAGCTCGTCAGAGCTTCAGAACATACTGCTGTACCGTGGGGTTAACATCACCCAATGCTTTACCCTGTGGGCTTTGTTCCCTCTATAAAAGTAGGGTCTACCAGCTGTTTCCTTAGAGCACTGCTAGTATTTCAGGATATTTCTTATGTGCGTATTAACATTTGAAAAGCTCAGTGCTGCTTGAAGTCCCTTAGAACCAAGACCATATTATAAAATGTGGACCTCCCCTTCCCACCCTGCACCCCCTTTTCTTCCCTCCATAGCCATTGTTTTTGTAGACACTTTTTTTGTCAATCAAATTTGAGCCAGCTGGAACCAGTGCCTCTTGTATTCATGACTTCCCTTCTTTCTGAGGGGCACTTTTGGTGCAATACAGTTCCCTCCTCGTATTCTTAATATTCTTTTCTAGACTTGTGAAGTTAATTTTGACCTACAGCTTATTTTTCTTACCTTCTCAATGAGGTCTTTATTTTAAGCACGGTATATATTCTGTTGGGCAAAATTTGTGTTGTTGAAACAATTGGTAGTTGTGTTATCTGGCCTAGTGTGATCTTGCCACTTGAAATTCAGATAATTCAGGTAAAATTTAATGAAGATGAATAGACCAATAATAGTATGTATCAGAAATTTTCAAAAAGTCTTCTTAATTATGTTTATCCACATGTACTTGGGGAATTGGTATTTTAAAACATTGTTAAGCCCAGCCGGCACCAATTAAAAAGTACTTGCTGTATACCATACTGGATGCCAAGATACAGGGGAGGTTTCATGGTCCATAAGACAGACGGAACTCGGAGATACTTAATTCCTAACTGCCATGTTTTCCTTTAACTTTGTCTAGTTTTAAATGAGATTGAAGAGTGTCCATGACGTATCGTCTTAGTATGTGTTTTAAATAAGCATTCTGGAAGAATTTGTGTTCCTAAAAACCTTGATATACAAATTAATGCTAAAAAACTTTTTGTTTACTAAAGCGACCCTGGCCATTTAAGAATAGAACAGCCACAATTTATGAATCACTTGCTCTGTCAGTTTTCAAATTATGTGAGTCTGGGTGAATTTTTAATTTTAGAGAATTTACATTATTTCAAAATGTGGGCATAAAGTGAGATTATTGATAAAATGTGAAGATTTAAGAAGCAGGAAGTTACGTTAACTGTATATTTTGTAAAATACATTTCAAGCTGGTATTCAGATGCAGGGCTGATATTTGGCCAGTATAGACCAGTATGGGGATCCTGGCTATTGAAGTGTTGAAATGCTTTCTTACCAGTCAGTGAATTGAACAGAAGAATCTCCAGTTTATCATCACCTATGAATTATTACTCATATATTAGCAGGTACTACATCGACATAGTTTAGCTTTTACTTTGATTTTATTGTCAATGTGCTCTTTTGTCGTTAGTAATTATTTTGGTTTTATTTCAGTGCATAATTTTTATGTAATGAGTCCTATTGTGCAGAGTTTTGATATTGATAAGTTTCATAATTTATAATAAAATATTCAATAGAACATCAAGACTGGAGCAATGACAGAGTTTTAATACGTTGCTTAACACTCCTTTTAAACGTCATAAACGTGAATCTTCTGACTCTGCAGGAGAACAGAGAAGACATGATATTAATAACGAACTGCAGCTTGGAACACCTGCTGATGCTGTGCAGCAATGAATACAAAATAACACAAATAATTTCTATTTATGGAATGGAAAACAGCTTGATTATTTCAAGGAAAATATGACTGCCTTATTATTGCTAGTGCCATATTGTCAGGTGCGAATGGTGCTCGAAAGTTGTATCACTACAATTGGAAAGTGCCGAACATTTACATATTTCATTATGTAGCTGTCATGTTTTGTTAAAGTTCATGACTCAAGTGAGGAAAATGTGGTGTTATTAATAAGACATGCAGAGTCAGTTCCACATAAAGAAGCACTTAAAAAAACTACACTTTTTTCAGTGTTAATAAAATAAAACATTTAGAATGTACCATCAGAATTTTAACACTGCCTGCTTTTTAGTTAAAAATAATTGAGCATTTTCAGGCATGAAATACTTGGGTGGGCATAAAAATATATCAGTATAACATGCTGTAATTGAAATTACGCTGAAATAAGAAAACAGCATTTTACTAAACTACGAAACAAGGCAGTAACATTTTAATCCGTATTCATGAAACTCCGTCTGTTTCATATAGGAGTTTTAATAGTATACTGAAAATGTTGAAGATGCAAGACTTTGAGAATAGTTTTGAGTTTTTCGTCAGAAGGAGTAACATCTGAAATACTGTATCAAACTTCACTGTTAGTGTTTGAGAAAAAATGGGTTCAGTGAGATATATTTACATTAAAACATTGGATTTTGTGTGGAGAGCATCTGTGTCACGGGACACAGTCAGGAGTTTCAACTGATCTTAGAAACGTTTCTAGTTGTTTTGTTATGGCATACTAGAAGTCACCATATTCAGTTATCCTTGGATAAGGTGTCAAAAGATAAAGAGGAAGTAAATGTCTTAAATCGTTTATCAGAATCTATCCACTGCCGCACATAAAATGATCATCAAAGAGAATGACAGTACCTCCGAAGAGCTGGTCATTGAAATAATGAAAATCTGAGGACTCTTTGCCCCTTTGCGGGCAGCCTCCAGTGCTGGCACTGCACAGACAGTCTGAAAATTATATCAAGCCTGTGTCTTTTATTTAAATTGCAGTTTTGAAGTGGAAGTAGTTACACATTTAGAAAATGAGCATTTTTGAGCTGATTGGGCTTTAGTACACAACATTGCAAAAGAGAGTAAGATTCTTCTTCAGCTTTATAAAAAAAGGTTTAAGTTATTCAAATGGACTGAGTGATTCAACAAACATTAAAAGTGATTGAATATATAAAATTAATTAGGCTATAAAAAGCAGAAGCTGTTAGAAAAATGCTACACCATTTGAAGCAAAACCAAATTGATAAAATTAAGTCAATTAAAGGGCATGTCAATAAACTATCTTTGTGACTTACTCAGTAATAGAAATGTTGAGTATATAAAATTCAGAAGGTATTGTAAAGGCTAGAAAGATTTTGAAATGCTGTTCAGAAGTGGAGGATTTACTGAATGATATCATTAATGTGAAGAGAAACTCTCAGCTTACTGAGTTATGTCATCTACAGATTATCAGTATAACGGGGAAGACATTGGGAAAAGTTCATTGTGCTCCCCTTTGTCCATTGTCGGCTCAGGCTCTGTTGTATCATAAAGCTAGTGACAGGCCTATGGAGTGAAAAACTGTATCAGCAGTTTTTAAAATGCTTTAGAAACTGAGTGATTTCTTTCAAATATTTGGTGCTATAGCTTGTATCATTTGATAAGCCTTTTTATCATATCCTTACAGATTATAAGGGAATAAATATACTTTAAAAGAGGTATAAATTATTCATACTGGTTATTAAATATTTTCAATATCATTTCCACGAATATTCTCTATTTTGAGTAACAGTCTAATATCAGACTTTTATTCTGTATGGTTCTTATATTTGAGGTGACATTGAATGCCAGCATATAAAAGTTCATAGAATTGAACAGAAATTGGCCTGTCTCACTGACCTATACCTAGTAATTTTTTTTTTTTAGTGTTTTAAAATTTAGGTTTAGGGGGGCTGATTTTGAAGTTTATTGCTAGACTTTTCAAAGCTGAAACTTTACTATTATTTATTGTTATAATTTTAATACTTCGAAGTTGTATTACTGGGCAAACTTTTCCACACTCCTGTTTTTAAAGCATTATTGGAGAATCCCAGATCTTTGGTTTAGAAAACTGCATTAGCTAATAACCCAGTAAACCCTACTAAGATTTGACTTGTTAGTGAGCAGCAGTTAACCAAGTGCTTGCTTTGTGCAGAGCGTTGAACTGTGTACGACTCTTGATGTGGGGACAGGGTGACAGAGAGCGATCCATGAAACAGACATCTGTTTAAGAAGTGATATTTTAGATGAACCTCAATGTGGTGTATTTCTAAAAAATAAATGTGAAGTATCCTAAGAGCCTAAGTATGTTTTTTTTTAATGGTCCGAATCCAGATCATTCTCTCACCATTTTTATTGCTTCTCATTTTGTTAAGTGATGAAAGGGAAAAGTTTGCTTTGACTGGTCATACTTTTCTGGAAATTTCTGGACTGGTCCCTTTAAGTCTCTGGGAGGTGGTCTTTCCAATTGTTTTGTGAGGGAATATGTTCATTTTGGGGTTTTATGCACTTTAAATATCACTGATTGTGGTTATTGAACTTCTCTATGGCAGAATGGTAAGCATTTACCCAAATGTTTTATGACTCGTGATAAATACAAAATGATTTTGGGAAATAATTCTTGTCTCCAAAATATGAGACAACTATTAACAAAGCATTTTTGTTTTAGGTTTGGATTTTCTTTCCCTTATTCCAGTTGATCCCCAGGTATGTACCCTGAGTTTAAGCAACTAATTTGTATTTGATTGTTGGTTATGTCATACTAACTAAAAATGACCAGTTGCATAAAATCAGGACAGTCAACTTTCAGTTACTCAACTTGATGGAAAGGAATTACTATATAAATATCTCACATTTTTATTTGGAGGAATAAAGTTGCTATTTTTAAATTTATGTTATTTTGACTTAATACCTGAATTTTTAATTACATTTTATTCAGCTTAATAATCAGTTGGCATTTCCTACAAGCACTTGAGTGATTAAAATGAGGGGAAGCAATGATCCCTGGAAGTTAAAGCCTGACAGAGATTATTTATGAAACACTCGTTCTGTATGTAGAATAGAGTGGAAGATGGTTCAACAGGTTTGAATCATTAGCTTGATTCTTCCTTGTGTTTAGAGGCAGATTCAGGTGTCGGGGATGCCCCAGTCTGAAGTTGCTATAAACCAGTCATTCCTGTTTTCTCTGCCAGCGATAAGAAACTCGAGTATCCTAAAGTCCCAACATGAAGACCTGTAGCACACCTGGACTGACAGGCCTATAGCGGAGGCAGAGCAGAGGAGGGCAAGGCATGGGAGAAACAGAAGGGAGTGGGGGAGGGAAACAGAGACTTGGAGAGAATTGCCGAGAGTAGGGAGGGCCAGAGGAAGACCCACAGACCACCGCTTCGTAGGCCTCAGAGCTTGCTAAGTCTCGTAGCGGCCTTCTGTGTCAGGACTCTGTATCTGATCACACAAACAGCACTGGGTATCTGGGCCCAGGGTAACATGTGCGGAATGAGGAATCTCTTCTCACCCTGAGTTGACTTTGTTACATCAGTAGATTCTGTAGCAAAGGTGGCTATATGTTTTTCTAGGAAATGAATTCTTCAGGCTTAAAATGTTACTGATTTTTATGAGAATCATCCTTTAAAAAAAATAATCTTGGAACCCAGAGGGTTTTGATTTCATAGTGCTGTTTGGCATACTTAGTGTCAGTCCGGCTAACTTACTTGTTAGGCCAGTAGAAGGGTGAGGTGGTACCTTCAGTTTTCCTGAGAATCCTTAGTATTCTTTACCTCCATGGTGCCCCCTTAAGCCCTGTTATCTTTGTGTAGATATGTGCCAGTGACACAGAAAGAGTTAGAGGTGAAATGGCTGCAGCCCGAGTGCTACAAGAATTCGCAGGGCCTACTGACAGCAGGACGCGGTGTCTAGCCTTCGTCTTATAAGCAAGATAGGACCTTTTTATTACCAGGCAGTCGAAAACAGCCTGAGAGGAAGTAGAAATAAAATGCAAGTTTCTAGGCTTTTTTCCAGGTTGTTCCCTCAATATTAGTGGAAAATTAGAATTGATCTGATTTTAAAATAGTTTAATGCCTTACAATTCTCTCTTCAGAGCTTCTGAGAAGCTCTTTAAGAACTATTCCTTCTCCCCGCCCCCCCACCCTTAACCAATATCCCTTTGATCTCTTTGTGCGTGACTTTCATTTTATTGATGAACCAAGACCGTTACCCATCCTAACCGCTAAACTTTTTTCGGTAAAGCAGCCTGAGTTGTAGTTGCTGCTCTTCCACTGACTGGCAGTGTAAGCCTGGGGCTGCCGTTGCTGTTTTAAGATCTTTTGGAAGATGATGTAGTCGAAACAGCTTCAGTTTTAAATTCCTGTTTGGTGATTTAATTTAAGTCTAATGATAGGCTAAGAAATTTACAGAGTTGATAATATTGATAGGATATCCTTACTGATCGTCTTTGATACCTTTAATCTAAAGACCAACTTTTAGGGCTTCTCGTGTATATTTTGGACCTCACTTACTAAAGTCAGTGCTGTTTTTTCTCACAAAATATTCTGTGGTGACATAAACTGTTAGCTCCTGTCTCTCTACTCCTCTTGGGCAATATTAGAGTATTAAACTTGGGTTTGAATATGGGGGTCAGCGATCAAGATGGTGGGTAAGGAAACTTGAAATATGAATTCTCAGAGGGCGGGTATCGAGTCTCACAAGGAAGATTAGATTAGATCTCTTTTAAGATTTATTCCAAAATTTTGAGGTTATATGGGATACTTCTTTGTTCTGAACATCCTATAGTGGAAGTTAGCTAGCATGTAGTCTCTGTTTCAGAATGAACGCTGTGATCCTGATTACACAGGTATCATTTCATGCCTGTCCAGAGGCTTCAAATCACACTCTTGAGTTGCTTGATCTTAACATTATTCTTGAAAAGTCTGATTGAGAGTAAATTTTGAAAGAATTATTGAATTTCGCATTGGCATTTTTTCTTAATACCATTAGAAATAAGTATTTGCTAGCCTTTTTGGTGTGATTTAAACCTGGTATAAATATATTTAGTGAGCAAATTCTTTCGGAGGTTATGTATGAGTCATAATTGTGGGGCCAGTATTTACTATTAAATAATTTTATTGTTGTCGACATTTTTATACTTGTATCTATGTACTTGCTCAACTAATTCTCCATAGATTTGAGAAAATGAAAAATATGCCACACTCACTAAACAGTAGAATAGATAACTAAATTCATGCCACTTTTTATCCAAAGATACGAAGTTTTGAGAAATTCTAAACCCCATGGGGATTTAAATATATGGCTATCACTTGTACATATCTAACGATTTCTAGTCTCTTTATTTAAAATCAATGTAGCCTCTTCCTCATCGGCATCATTGTTTGTTTCAAGCAGTACTGTCCTCCTATGTTTTTGGATAGTCTCACCTCACCCCTAACAGCAAGCAGTACGTCTGTCACCACCACCAGCCCCCATGAAAGCAGTACTCATGTTAGTTCCTCCAGCAGCAGGAGTGAGACAGGGGTCATAACCAGCAGTGGAAGTAACATTCCTGACATCATCTCATTGGACTAAAGGAGGACTCACTCGATTCTAGGAATCATTCATCGAAACTGTTCTTTCTTGGATCTCTGGTCCGTGGAAGCTATTTTTTTCGGTAACAATTACTTTGATATTTATTGAAACGTCAAATGGATTCTTGTGCTTTCTGAGAGATGCTCACAGATGACTGCAGCAAGAACCAAATGACATGCAAGGATTTTTCTTACCCATGCTGTACTCTGAGCATCAGATACATTTCGGCTCTAACTGTATCTTCTCCAGAGATGGATTTCAATTTCCTATGTTACTGGATGGATTCTACACACATCGGTTAAAATTTTTTGTTGTTGTAATAAACAGCAATAAAACTATGTAAATATTCAAGTAAACTTTTTTCTAACTAAAAAAGGATGTAATCAGTGATTCTAAAATGACAGCAACTTTTGTTTAACCTGATGTGAAGGAAAAACACATGGAAGGAAGTCATGTTTGCTGAATGAGTCCTTTCCACGGAGATCTGTTGCGTTTCATCGGATAATGAAGTCTTGCTAAGTGGCCAGAGCTTGGCTCCCCTTTTCTTCCTGATTACATCAAAGAAAAATGGCCTTTGTGTTACTTATTTTTCCCTGGTTGTC